GGAAATCAACCGTTTGAAGACCCTGAAGCATGTCAACACATCATTCTCGATATTATTCCAACGCCACGGATGAACCTGACTGTTGCGTCTTGGCGATCCCGACTCGTGCCAGAACGCCATTCCTGGGACCTCAACTCCTTGCCATTCCTGCTACGTCGATCATGGGAACCCGTGAAAATCTTGCAATGTTTCTAATCCAGGATGTGCGCGGCGCTAAGGCGAGAGCCACATTTTGAAAAGGAACCGCCCTCAACCCGTAAACTTCTTGCACCTTTTTAGATGGAATGTGCGCGGCGCTAAGGCGAGAGCCACATTTTGAACAGTAGCCGCCCTCAATCTGTAAAACTCTTGCAGATTTTTCAGACCGAATGTGCGCGGCGCCCAGGCGAGAGCCACATTTTGAAACCACCTGCCCTCACTCCGTGAAACTCTTGCATTTTGTCAACGAATGTGCGCGGCGCTCAGGCGAGAGCCACATTTTGAAAACGACCCGCCCTCAATCAGTGAAGCTCTTGCAATTTGTCAGACCGAATGTGCGCGGCGCTCAGGCGAGAGCCACATTTTGAAAACGACCCGCCCTCAATCCGTAAAATTCTTGCAATTTGTCAGACCGAATGCGCGCGGCGCCAAGGCGAGAGCCACATTTTGAAAACCACCCGCCCTCAATCCGTGAAGCTCTTGCGAATCTTTAAAACCAATGTGCGCGGTGCTAAGGCGAGGGCCACAATTTGAAAACCACCCACCCTCCATCTGAGAATCTGTTTTCAATGTTCAAGCTTCAGGGTCATAAATAGTTAGGACGTCTCATGCGAAACGCCGGGCCCGCCCTAAAAGCTGACCTCGGGGCGCGACAGGGAGGAGTTATTGATAAGGGGAAGGAATGGAGGAGGAGGAGGAGGAGGAGGAGGAGGAGGAGGGGAGGAGAGAGGAGGAGGAGGAGGAGGAGGAGGAGGAGGAGGAGAGGCAGAGGAGCAGGAGGAGGAGGAGGAGGAGGAGGAGGAGGAGGAGGAGGAGAGGAGGAGGAGGAGGAGGAGGAGGAGTAGGAGGAGGAGGAGGAGGAGAGAGGAGGAGCGGGCGGAGGAGGAGGAGGAGGAGGAAAGTGAGGAGGATGAGGATGACGGATGAGGATGATGAGGAGAGGAGAAGGAGGAGTAGGAGGAGGGAGGAGGAGAAGTAGGAGGCTGAGGCGAAGAAGGAGGCAGGAGGAGGAGGAGGAGGAGTGAGGAGGAGGAAGAGGAGATGAGGAGGAGGAGAGGGGAGGAGAGGAGGAGGAGGGGGAGGCGGAGGTGGAGGTGGACGGTGGTGGAGGTGTTGGTGGAGGTGGAGGCGGAGGTGGAGGTGGGGGAGGGGAGGAGGGAGGAGGGAGGGGGAGAACTTGGCGGCTGAAGAGGAGGAGGAAGAGGAGGAGGAGGAGGAGGAGGAGGAGGAGGAGGAGGAGGAGGACAATGACGACAGTGGGAGGACAATGGCGGGTTTCATGGGGCTTCTTGGGGGGGCGTCTTAACGGTCCTGGGGGCCTCTTGGAGCGTCTTGGGTGCCTCGGGGAGCCTCTTGGGGCCTCTTGGGGATCGCCTTTTGGTGCCATCTTGATGCGCTCTTGGAAGCCTTGGGGGCGCTCCTTGGGCCATCTTGGAGGAGATCGATCAAACAGATGGGAGCTTCAATTACGTTCCCCCCCTCGGGAGCCCCAGAAACCGCCTCTTGGGCCCCTCTTGAGCGCTCTTGGGCGCTCTTGTGGCCGCATTGGGGCTTTCTTGGGCCTCTCTTTCGGTCTTCGGGTCCCTTGAGGCCTCGGAAGTCCAACGGAAGTGAACAGGCGAGAAGGCACACGTCATTATCCTTTAACATGTTTTTGAAGGATTCTGGCCTCTTGGTGGCCTCCTGGGGAGGTTCCGTGGCCACTCGAATCCGTCTTGGAGCGGTCTAGGGCCCCCTTGAACCATCTTGGGAGCCATGTTGAACCATCTTGGGCTATCTTGGGCCGTCTTGGAAATTATCTTGGGCTCTCTGAGGCCCTCTTGGAGCCGTCTTGGGCCATCTTCGATGCTCTGACTGCTCGCGGGGCGCCCCGTCCAGGTCCAGGTCCAGGGAAGGGGGTATGGGGGAGGGGTCAAGCTACTCACCCGCCCGCATGCCGTCTAGCTGACTCCCATCCGCCCTCCCAACACATAAGTAACACCCGAGCCTGAGCATGTTCAGCGGTCGTCTTTGGATGGACAGCTACTGGGAACCAAAGCCGACCTCAGGTGCGCGACTCTTGGGCGAGGTGCGCCAAGCGTGCCAGGCGCGTCACGCGCGCCAGGCACCCCTGGGGCCCGAGCGTGCCAGGCACGCCTGGTGCGCCAGATGCGCCACGTGCTTCGAGTGCGCCAGGTGTGCCGCATACTCCAGCCATGCCAGGTGCGCCATGTTCGGGGCACGTGCAGAGTGCATCAGGTGCGTCTGCGCAAGTGACAGCACACATCGGGAAACATGTCGGTCCCCGCCATCCTTGTCGAAAACCAATGCCCATCATTGTGTCTGGTGGGCCTGCGCACGGCAGGCCACGCGCCACCACCCCCGCGGTCCCTGTCAAAAACCATTCGACAGTGATCGCGGGATGGCCGCGCATGATCCAGATTTAGTCGCGAGGTGCATGTTGTATTGCACTGTTCTTTGTCAGGGATGGTAGCCCTGCGCGCGGCAGGGAATGTGCTGGCACCCCCGCCGTCCCTGTCAAAACAATACAAGGTGTTCGCGGGCCTCGCGAACATGACTCAAGACTTTGGCCCAAACTGTACTTGGACTTGCTTTTTGACCGAGATGGTGTGGGGGGGCCGCATCGGTTTGGCCGCGCATGCTCCAAATGTGGAGGCAGAGTGCGTTTTGTCTGGTTTTTTGTCAGGGATGGTGGGGGCGGGTCGGCATGGTGTCGGCATGGTTCCTGGTTGGACGCCGGTCGCCTGGGGGAGGGAGGGGGTGTATATTGATAAGGAACAGTGATCAAGACACCCCCTAGATAGCAAGTCGTCATGCTCCCACCCGCCCTCCCTGCTAACACACAAGTAACATCCGAGCCTGAGCGTGTTCAGCAGTCGTCTTTGGATGGGCAGCTACTGGAACCAAAACCGACCCCATGTGCGCGACGCTGGGGCGAGGTGCGCCACGCGTCTCAGGCGCGTCACGCGCGCCAGGCACCCCTGGGGCCCGAGCGTGCCAGGCACGCCTGGTGCGCCAGATGCGCCACGTGCTCCGCGTGCGCCAGGTGTGCCGCATACTCTGGCCGCGCCAGGTGTGCCACGTTCGGGGCACGTGCAGAGAGTGTCAGGTGCGTCTGCGCACGTGACATCACACATCGTGAAACATGTCGGTCCCCGCCATCCTTGTCGAAAACCAATGCCCATCATTGTCTCTGGTGGGCCTGCTCACAGCAGGCCATACGCCACCACCCCCGCCGTCCCTGTCAGAAACCACTTAACAGTGATCGCGGGATGGCCGCGCACTATCCAGATTTAGCCGCGAGGTGCATTTTGTTTTGTTTTTGTTCGGGATGGTAGCCTTGCGCGCAGCAGGCAATATGCTGACCCCCCCGCCGTCCCTGTCAAAACAATACAAAGTGCTCGCGAGGCTCGCGAACATGACTCAAGATTTTGCCTTAAAGTGTGCATCGTATTTTTTGTATTGTTTTTTGGCAGTCAAGGTGGGGGGGTGGGAGCATGGTTCCAGGTTGGTCGCCGGTCGCCTGGGGGAGGGGGTGTATATTTATAGGGAGCAATGATCAACCCCTCCCCGAAGGGGAAGAAGGGCGTTGGAAGAGGAACCCCCCCGGACCGCCTACGCCCAGAGGGCCGGTGGGATCTTCTGGGGGCTGGCACCCTGGGCGCCAGGGCGCGCGGTTACTCAGGGGGGGGGGGGCTTTTGGGGGTGCCTCCTCCTGGGGGCGGGGGACGCCCCCGCGGGGACGGAGGGGTCCGCGGCGGCCCCCAGCGCGCGGCCGCCCCACGGCTCCCCTCCCGCTGGGCTGGAGTTCGTCGCGTGCCGCTGCCGAGGACAGCCCGCCGGTGACCGGGCCCCGCGGAGGCGCGTTGCCCAGGCCTCGGGCCCTCGATCGCCGGTCGGCCGCCGTGCTCGTCGGCTGCCCCGGGGGGGGGCCCGCCTCTCGAGTGGGCCCTGTTCGCTCCCCGGGTCGTCCCCCCTTCGTCTGGGGGGCGTCTGCGGCCCCTTGGGGCCGCCCTCTGGGCCGCCGCGCCCGCCCGCGGCGTCCTCGTCCGCCTGGCGCCGCTGCGTTCGTGGCTTTTCCTGGTCTCCGCCGTTGCCGTCGTCGTGGGGTCGTGTTCGCCGCGCCTTCCGTGCTGTCGCTCTTGCCTTCGGCTGGGTCTCGCGTTCGTGTGCGTTCGGGTCCCGCTCGTCCTTCTCCCTCCGCCCTCCCCCCCTCCCTTTGCCTTCCTTCCATATTTGTCCCTCCTCTGTCCGGTTTTTGTTCCTCTTCCTCCTGTCCTGCCCTCTCTTGGCTCCTTCCGGCTCTTGTCCCCCGTCCCTGCTCTGCCCGGTCTCCTCCCGCTCCTGGCTCTTCTCTTTTCCCTCCCTCTCTGGGTTCGCGCCCCCCGTTGCCCTTGGCCTTCGGCCCGCGCGCACCCCCTGCACCCCTTCCGCCCGAGGCGGTTGCGTGCCCTCTTTCGCTGCCCGCTGCGACTTTACCAGCTTGCGCCCGCGGCGCGGCCTGAGGAGGCAAAGAGGAGCATGATGATGATGACGATGATGACGATGATGTTGATGATGATGATGATGCTGCTGATGATGATGCTGATGATGCTGATGATGATGATGATGATGATGATGATGATGATGATGATGGTGATGATGATGATGATGATGGTGATGGTGATGGTGATGGTGATGGTGGTGGTGGTGGTGATGACGATGGGGCGGAGGAGGCGGAGGAGGCAGAGGAGGAGGAGGAGGCGGAGGAGGAGGCGGAGGAGGAGGAGGAGGAGAAGGAGAAAGACAGGAAAGACGGGGAGGCCACCCTCGTGCAGCAGAAGGGGAGCTACCTCGAGGCGCTGCTCTCTGGCCGCTACCACGTCAGCCGCGACCGCTACGGGCGCATCTTCCTGAATCGGGACCCGGAGTACTTCCGCGCGATCTTGAACTTCCTCCGCAACCCGTCGACGCCGCCCGTGCCCCGCGACAGCGCCGAGTCGGAGGCCGTGGTCTCTCTTGGCCCCAGGAACGCAGCACGGCATAAGCACAACTGTTTGGAGGTCTGCGTGGATTCTCGGGTTGCTGCTGGCCACCCCTGGCGGCGCCTCAAAGCGCCGCCGCTGGCCCGCTCCGCGCGCCAGAGGAGGGGGCTCCCGCGCCGACCAAGGAGTCCGCGCGCACCTCCGAGCGTTCCTGTCTGTGCCAGTTCAGGTTCCTCTGCTGCTCCTCCCGTCCCAGCCCTCTTCGGCGGTCGCGAACAGACGTGGCGGGCGAATTCCCAGAACCCCAAATCGGGTGTTGACAGGGGTGTCCTTGGCCCAAGATGGCCCCAGGACTTCCCAAGAGGCCCTTCCGAAGCACCCCCCCACGAAGCCCAGAGGGCCCCAGGGGCTCCAAAAGGGTGCGAAAAGTGGGTGGGGGGCACCCTGTCGTCGCCACCGAAACATGCTGATACTCTATGTGCGTCGCCCCCCCAAGGGCGACGCGCGCGCTGAGAGATCGTATAGCCTCTTCTCGGTGGTGGGCGCCTTCTGGCCACGCCGCCCGTACGACGATGTACTCGAAGGCTGCGCTCCAAGCTCGTTGCGTACGTGCGCGCGCAGTGCTAGCGTGTCCTTCTGCGACCCACCTTGGGCTGGGGACACCCCTGGCGACCTCCGACCAGAGCCTTGGCACCCCCCTGGGACCCTCGCCAGATCGTTCCGATCCGCGCGCACGGCAGCCCCCGCAGCGAGCCTCGGCGGGGAGAGCTTCCGACCCCCCCAGCGCCGTGCTCTTGCCGCAGCGTCGGGGGTGGCTGCGCAGCTCAAAGGGTTGGTTAGGCCTCTGGAGGTCCTCCCTCCCTCCTCCTCCTTCCCAATGCGGCTGAAGGGTTGCCGCGTTTTCCGTCTTTACTCGTGGCTCCCTCGTTTCTTCGGCGGAGTTCATTGGGCTTGCGTCTCCTCCTCCTCCTCCTCCTCCTCCTCCTCCTCCTCCTCCTCCTCCTCCTCCTCCTACATCGCCCTCGCCTCTTTTCCTCTCAGCGCGAGCTAGGATTGCATCCCTTCGAAAGGCCTGGACGCGAGAGCACATGCCATGCGGACGGGCCCGAGTGACACCGATGCGGGTGGGCGCTCTTGCGGGGCAGCAGACTCTTCCACCCGTCGCCGCAGAGGCGGTGGGCCCCGGAGGAAGCGGGTCCTGGACTCGATCTCGCCGGTCTGCCGTGCTCCTGGTGCCCTCACCGGTGTCTGGGCCTGTTGGGAGCGTCAACGAAGCGACCCGGTGTGAAAAGCTGGTCGTGGGGAACCACCGCCCACCAAACCACTCCAACCCAACCCGAAGGCCCCGATTTGCCCTCCGTTTCCAGAGTGTGTGTGGGGGGGGGGTCGGGGAACATGGAAAAAACTCATGCAGCCCGTACCGCCCCCCAACCCGAAAATCGGGTCTTCGGGTTGGGTTAGGGTGGCCTGGTAGGTAGTCAGGGAAAGGTCCCAGGGTCCAGGACCCGTTTCCCTCAGGAGCCGTTTCTTGCACGACAACCTTTCCGTCCCTTCTTCTCTCCCTCCTCCCGTTCTCCAGTGGGGGATGCCAGGATTCGCAAGCAGGATGGTTCAAGCAAGTCGCCTCGTGCGCGTGCCCTCCGTGTGCCCTCAGCAGAACCCTCGTCTCTTGCAAGACGTCGTCAGCGACCTGCTTAGCACCCCACCCCTCTATGAGCATCAAGCAGAGTGACATGGACGTGACTACAGTGGAGGCCCATGCCAAGAAACAACCTGCTCGCCTCCAGGGCGCCCTGGGTTTCTTTGGTTCCGATGGTTTTGTTCTGGGAAGCGTGAGGTCCCCACGCCAAAAGCCAATGGGCGTCCTGGGGTTCCAGGGTCGGGCTTCTCGTGGGAGGTCTCTTGTGGACCGGCCCCCACTATGAGCCACTGGGGACGCTGGTTCTCAGAGGTGGCGAACAACAGACATCTAGCATGCGGTGGCATCCCGCTCGAGATGTGCGACAAGAGTGCAGCAGGCCCGCCGGGGTGGCGCCCCAGCGCACGCAAGTGTGCCCGCTGCGCGGGTGCGGCCCGCTGCTTGGGCCGTGCGGGCGACGCACGGGGCCTCGGGAGCAGGCCCTCGGCATGGGCAGCGGCCTGCCGTGTGCGCGGAGCGGTCTCCCGAGTGGCGGGGCAGCTCTAGGGGCGCACGATCCGATCCTTTGGGTGGGCGGCGCCGCGAGACGGAAGGCGAGCCCTCGCACCCGGAGAGGCCTCCCAAGTGGCGGTGCAGCTCGAGGGCGCATGATCCGATGCTTTGGGCGGTCGGCGCCGCGAGACGGAAGGCGAGCCCTCGCACCCGGAGAGGCCTCCCAAATGGCGGTGCAGCTCGAGGGCGCATGATCCGATGCTTTGGGCGGACGGCGCCGCGAGACGGAAGGCGAGCCCTCGCACCCGGAGAGGCCTCCCAAATGGCGGTGCAGCTCGAGGGCGCACGATCCGGATCCGATGCTTTGAGTGGGCGGCGCCGCGAGACGGAGGGCGAGCCCTCTCTCCCGGAGCTGGCAGCGCACGGCGCCAGCTCCGCCAAGCCGGGGCTGGGCGCCTCGATGCCGACGCCTGCGCCCGTGCAGGAGTTCTAAACTTAAGTCGTGCCTGTCCCTCCACAGGAGGAAAATCCAAAGATAGTCAAAAAATAGTCAGGGGAAGTTTTTTGTTGTGACTATTTTGAGCTATTTTGAGCTTTTTTGGTGCATTTTTTGATGATGTTTTATTTTTCACCCAAAATTCCCCTGTTGGAGGACAGGCCCGACTTAATCCTAGGTCCAGGACCAGGACACCTCCGTCGTGGTGCTGTCGGCGTGCTTCTCGCTGCAGCGCTGCCGCCGGCCGACGAGTGAGTTCTTCGCGGTGTTCCGCTTGTGATTCGAAGAACTCGCGGGCCGGCCACCTTCCGCTCTCTCGCGCGGGCAGGGATCGCTCGCTCCACTGTGTGCCAGTAGTCTCGAAGGCTGTCCCCAACGAGGCGTCGCTATGATCGACCCGGTCCGTGGACCACGCGGCCGACGCGTCGCATACTCCTGGAGCGACGACAGGGCAAGAAGGGAAGACGCAGTCCAGGAGCTTGCGCTGGCTGTTGAGGGGTGTGCGCGGCAATGCCTGCCCGAACCCTTAGGGGGCCACAGGCGAACCCTGCCCCCTACCCCCCACGATTTCTGAGGGGGAGGGTGGGGTTCACTGCGCTCGGGAGCTCCCGGTCGAAGTGAACCCCCCCCTCCCCCTCAGAATCGTGGGGGTGGGGGGTTTTCGCCTGTGGACCACTACCCTCGTGGGTGAGGAAGGAAGGAGGAGGAGGAGGAGGAGGAGGAGGAGGAGGAGGAGGAGGAGGAGGAGGAGGAGGAGGAGGAGGAGGAGGAGGGCTGGTTCGCCTGTGGCCCCCGAGCCCTGCCGGGCAGGGGCGGGACCGGCAGGGCGCGGGCGCCCGTGTGTCGGGCGGCCCTGAAGAAGCTGCGGGAGGACAGCAATCAGGAGGGGAAGAAACACACAGACACAATTCATCGTCGATTCCCCAGAAAACATAGGAAAATATGGCAAGTGGTGGGGAAGGCAGAAACCCAGAACATATGGGAAAATATGGGGTATCTTTTTATTGGTGTGTATTTATGTGTGTGTCCCAGGGCCCCTTCAAGCAAGCAGGGGAGCCGAGAGAAGAAGCACAAGGGGAAGGGCGAACAGAGCGCTGGCCGCCCGTGAAGCTGTTCCACGGTGGAGGCGTCGACGGAGCACCCTGCGCGCGCTGGTGTGCCGGATCCGGGGCCGGGAGGCGGAGGCGCTCGCCTGCAATGGTCCTGGTCGTGTGGCCGGGAGGCGGAGCTGGGGTCGAGGCTGGCGGGGTCGTCCTTGCGGGCAGTACTTATGATATCCACATCCAGAGCGTCGTGGACTTTTCGGGAAGAGGTGCCGCAACGCCGAGGCGCACCGGATATGGATGAGATCAAGCCTCCTGGGGCCAGATGGTTATCCATATCCAGTGCGTCTACGGTTTCTGGGGAAGAGAGCCCAAGAATCCAAGACGCACTGGATGTGGATATAACTATTGCCCGCAGTCCTCTCCCCTCTTCCCCCTTTTGTACCGCTCGTGCTCGCGAGGGGCACTGTGCGGGTGCTGTCTACCCAGGTCGGCCTACGCACGCGCGAGTTATTGTTAGTGTTTTTTCTCCCTCCTCCTCCTCCTCCTTGTCCTCCTTCTCTTGTGCAGATATGCCTCGTGCCCTTGCCAGTTTACGTGGTTATTCACGGAACTCGGAACAGCCGGCCTCGAATCAATGTATGAGTTTTCCACGCTCGCTCTGGGTCATGCCTCGTTGCGCTTCGACGGAAAAGTGAGTCTGACTGGTACACTCGTGTGCATGAGATGTGCGGCGTTCGCCACTCATTTGGGGAGCATTCCGCCCCCGGGTCGCGTTTCAGCGACCCGCCGTCGGTTACCAGAGGCTGCGCTGGGCTGGCTGTAGTGGAAAACAGATTTTCCTGGAGTGACGACAGGCGGCGGGGATCATGACAGTGACAGAGACGGCTGGGCTTGTCTTGCTGGCCGAGCAGGGCAGGCCAGGGAGAGGGGGGGCGCTTTGGCAGGCGCCCGAGGTCGCTGGGCTTCGGGCTGGGCTGGCAGGGCCGGTTGGCTGGATTGGCTGGGTCACGGCTTCAAGCCAGGTGGCGAGTTTGCGATGGCAGGGACGGTGGCCACGCCTGCGGAGCAGGCCGCCGTGCTGCCGTCCTCAACCTCCCGACAAAGGACGCGCCGCCGCCGACTGCCAGTTCCCCTTCTGCACAACCTCGGAGTTGCCAGCGGTCTTCAGCGTCTCTTCAAGGACAGCCGCCAGTATGCTCAGCCTGGTCGCTTTCAACGGCGCATTTCCGCGACTCGCTCGTGGCGTGCCAGTTGCTGACGGGGTTGTTGGCGTGAAGAATTCCTCGGATCTTTAGGCGCGGCCCACTCCCCGATGCCATCTCCGTGCGGGTGGTCTTGCCGACTGTGGCCTGCAACAAGCTCGCATGCACTGCCCGACACCTCTGGCGCCATGCGTGCGGCCCGAGGCAAGGAGCGCATCGAGCTCCTCGTCGGCGCTGGGGCCTCGCTGCAGCTCGCGGGCACCGAGATGCTGGGCTCTGGCGTCTCCCAGACCGAGTTGCCGAAGCGGTGGCGGCGGACCCGCGACGCTCAGCCCGTCCACGGCCACGCGCGCAGGCGCCGGCGGCGTGCTGGAGAGGGCCTCAACGCGAGCTGAATGCCACTTAGAGCGTCGGGCTTGGAGGGAGTCGTTCTTCTTCTTCTTCTCATCCTGCTCCTCCTCCTCCTCCTTTTTCTCCTCCTCCTCCTCCTCCTCCTCAGAAATGAAAGGCTGCTCGCAGCGCGAGCGGCTGTTCAAGCCTTGCGCAGCCATCGGGCCGCAGGAGGCCCGGGCGCGCAGCGGGAGAGACAGACGCCGGGCCACGGGATCGGACCCGAGCCAACTGGAGCGGCTGTCGGCAACCGACACCTTACCACCACCACTCGGACGGGCCTAGAATCGAGATTCATTCTTGAATGAATGAAGAATGGATCTCGATTCTTTCTTGGTGCGGTGCGGAATCCTTCGTGCCTTGCCGCACGGGTATAGCCCCCTTGAGGGGAAGTGGATTTGCCCGTGGACGGGCCCTCTTTTGGGGGTATGAAAAAAGAATCGAGATTCATTCTTTCCAGGGCGTCCCAGAACGCTCTCAGAGCGCTCTGGAACGCTCCGAAGCGGCCGCGGCGCGCGATGCGTCCTCCGACCCCGCCGATCCTCCGAGAGTTTTCCGACACATCGGTCCCGTTCGGTCTCGGCTCGCTGCCTGTGCCTCCTCCTCCTCCTCCTCCTCCTCCTCCTTCTCCTCCTCCTCCTCCTCCTTCCTCCTCCGCCTCCGCCTCCGCCTCCTCCTCCTCCTCCTCCTCCTCCTCCTCCTCCTCCTCCTCCTGCCTTCGCTTCAGGGAGGGAGGTCGTCAGCGTCTGCATCGTCGTCGGCCGCCCTGCTGCCCGCCGTGCCGCCGCCCGCCGGGGGGGGGGGGCAGGGATGGGGCCCCCCCCCCCGAGAGCGCTCGGCGAGGGGACCGCGCCCCCGAAGGCCCGCCCACCGCTGATGGGCTTGTCTTCCACCACACCACCATAGTTGGAGGGGAGGGGTCCTCCTCCTCCTCCTCCTCCTCCTCCTCCTCCTCCTCCTCCTTGTCCTCCTCGTCCTCCTCCTCCTTCTCCTCCTCCTCCTTCCTCCTCCTCCTCCTCCTCCTCCTCCTCTCCTTCCAACTTATGGTGGTGGTGGTGGAAAACAAGCCCATCAACCGCCGCGGCTGGCCCTGCACAGGCCAGCGAAGGCCTGCATGAATCGAGCAGGGGATCGGCTGCAGGACGGACTTCCCCCAGCATGGATGGTTCTGCCGACCCTGCACGCAAAATGCGTAGAGTGTTCGTGGGTCTACCTACGGAGCCTTCGGCGCATGTCTCGCGCAGGTCGGGCGGAAGATCGTGTCGGGACGTTCCCCTACTCGATGCCGAGGCGGCACGCTAGCACCTGCAACTCGGCCCGTCGCCAGACCGAGTCACCAGCCGCCTCAATGGCCCCACCCGACTTCGATGTGACGCGGGGCTGGGCTCCTCCTCCTCTTCCTCCTCCTCCTCCTCTTCCTCCTCTTCCTCCTCCTCCTCCTCTTCCTCCTCCTGTTCCCGATCGGTTTGCCATTATCTTTCGATACTTCATCACCTCCATGCCCTCCTTTGCAGCAAACTTAGAAGACTTGGACGATGGGTGCACTCGGATTCGTAGGCGGTGGATTTTGCCCGAGCTGCGCGTCCTGCAGCTGGCCTTCCGCACAGTGCGGGGTCTCGTCGATGACTGCGACCGGAGCTTTCTTGGGGACGCTCGGCCTCCTCCTGTTCCCGGTCGTTCTCCTTCAGCTTCCCGCAGAAATCAAGGGATGAAAAGCCACCCAGACCTGATAAGTGGCGTTTGCCAGACGGCCTTGGGCGTTTATGAAGCAGCCCTTGCCCCATTCGATTTCTTTTTTGTGTGCGTTTACTAAACGGCTTCGCGTGTCGGGGTGATGGTTATGGTAGGGCGACGAGATCTATGCATATCCACTGCTCCTGGCCAGGCCAATCCTGGGCCCAGGAGCGGTGTATACGCCCTCCTGGCCTGGCCAGGGAGGCATATACACAGCTCCTGGGCCCAGGATGGGCCTGGCCAGGAGCAGTGGAGATGTATAGATCTCGTCGCCCTATATGGGGGTGGATGATCTGCTCTCTGAGACGGTTTCGCTGTGGCGACTTCGGTGCTGGGCCGAACGGGGCGCCTGGGGGCGCCCCATCCGGCGCTCCTGGCGCCTGTAGGGGTTGCTTTGAGGGCGGGGGGCGTCCCCCTCAGACAGCAGTGCGCGAAAGGTCAGAAGAGGGAAAGGTACCCATAACCGCTTCCATTCCCTCCTCGTTCTCGCCTTTTTGGGCCTCCTGGGAGGCCTTCGTCGCCACCACTGGATTCGCCACAAAATTCTGGTCAGAACGCACCCCGTGAGAGGTCTGGGGAGCAGCGGTATCGGTACCTTTTGGTTTCCCCAAAATGGCACCGTGGGCAAAGGCTACCCTCCTGCGGAGCCGAATCGAGGCCAGCAAGTCTGCGGTTGACGGCAGAGGAGGCCATCCTCCGAAGCTTGGTCGAGGATCGACTTCGATCGACGTGCAAACGTGCAGGCCCGATGACCGCGCAAAGACCGCGCGAAGATCGTCGGCAATGCCAGGGCCGACTTCTGGCGCGAGCCGCACTCCGAGGATGATTCAGGCTGTCGAGGTCCAGGCGGGGTCATCAAGGTGTATCAAGACTGCTCGACGGCAGTCGTCGGCTGGTGCGGCCACATCGTGCTCGTGCCCATGCGGCCCTCACGTGCACGCGTGTGCTCTGTATGGCTTCAGCGCCGTCACGGGGCCTCATCACATCTGCCTCCTCTTGTCCTCTTACCCTTCCCTCCGCCCCCAGGGATCGTGACTCTTGTTTTTTTCCGTGATTGGCAGGAGCACTGCGCAATGGTCGGGGTTGGACAGACCTCCTACCTGACACGTCGATTAAGGAATTGGCCGTTTTCGGTTCGCGAGAGGGCGTCGCGGCCGTCATTTTTGCAGGTCCAGGTCCGTCGGTTTCGGTCCCAGGCCGTTTTCACTAAAGGGAGGATTTATAAAGGGAGGTTTGTCCAAAGCCGAAATTGGGAGGGTGGCAAGAGAGGGGCAGGATGGGGAGAGTGGCAGGAGGGATAGGGAGAGGGAGATGGGGAGGGTGCTCCGCTGGAACCAGGGCACGCCCGGCGGGCCCCCGAGGAGTGAGGAGGGAAGGCAGAGGAGGAGGAGGAGGAGGAGGAGGAGGAGGAGGAGGAGGAGGAGGAGGAGAGGAGGAGGAGGAGGAGGAGACGAGGCTACCGCTCAGCAGCAGCAGCAGCAGCAGCAGCAGCAGCAGCAGCAGCAGCAGCAGCAGCAGCAGCAGCAGCAGCAGCAGCAGCAGCAGCAGCAGCAGTAGCCGCATCATCACCAGCATCATCACCATCATCATCATCATCATCATCATCATCATCATCATCATCATCATCATCATCATCACCAGCATCATCATCAACATCACCAACCTCATCATCATCATCATCATCATCATCGTCATCAGCATCATCATCATCATCATCATCATCATCATCATCAGCATCATCATCATCATCATGATTAGCATCATCATTATCATTATCATCACCAGTCTTATTAGCATCATCACAACCAGCATCACTATCATCATTATTATTAACATCAGCAGCAGCAGTAGAAGTAGCAGCAGTTGTAGTAGTTAGGTCTGAACCTGGCCGATCGGTACGAGCTCAGGAGGAGGAGGAGGAGGAGGAGGAGGAGGAGGAGGAGGAGGAGGAGGAGGAGACGACGATGCGCAGAGGGGGGAGGGGACGGGGAAGGATGTGGATGAGGCGACTGGCGGGGCTCTTGGTGACGAGGTGCATCTCTGAAAGAATTTGGGGTTAAGTGATTCTCGCGGCGACGTGCTGCCGACCTGTCTATCGAAGACGCCTACGGCGAGTCACCGCCGCCCCCTGCCCCTTTGGAAGCGCCTCTGTGGCAGACAGCTTGGCCAGAGCTTGGCCAAGCTATCGGGCCAGTTGTTCCCCGAGTCGGTTTGGAAAGACTTCGGGGAACGCATGGGGGAGCAAGAAGAGGAGGAGGGTGAGGATGAGGAAAACAAAGGAGGAGGAGGAGGAGGAGGAGGAGGAGGAGGAGGAGGAGGAGGAGGAGGAGAGGAGGAGGCGGAGGAGGAGGAGAGGGAGGAGGAGGAGGAGAGGAGGGAGGAGAGAGGAGGAGGAGGAGGAGGAGGAGGAGAGGAGGGAGGAGGAGGAGGAGGAGGAGGAGGAGGAGGAGGGAGGAGAGGAAGGAGGGAAGGAGGAGGAAAGGCGGAGGAGGAGGAGGAGGAGGAGGAGGAGTAGGAGGGAGCCGGCGGAGGAGGAGGGGCGGAGAAGGGGAGGAGGCCTCTTGGGCGCCTCTCGGGGCACTCCTGGGGCCTCCGGGGAGCTTCCTGGGGGCCTCTTGGAGGATTTGTGGGGGCCTTCGGGGCTTCTTGGAGGCTGCTTTGGCCGTCTTAGGGTGTTCCTGGCTTGTCTGACGCCGTCGGAAGCCGTCTTTGGGGCCTGTCTGGGTCGTCTTGGGGCCCTCTTGGGGCATATCAGGGGTTATTAGAAGCCATCTTGGGCGTCTTGGAGGCCTCTTGTGCCGTTTTGGGGCCCTCTTGGGGCCGTCTTGGTAGCCTTTTGGGCCGTCATGGGGCCATCTTGGAGGCCTCTTGGGCGATCTTGGGCCTCTTGCGCCGTCTTGAGCCGTCGGAATCCCGAGAAGAAGCAAATGCCAAAATCTGTCCAAAACCGAATGACAATCAATGATTTGGGCCTCGTCGTGCCCTCCTGGAAGACCTCCTGGACGCCTTTTGGGCCGTCTTGGAATCCTCTTGGGGGCCTCTTGGGCCGTCTCGGGCCATCTTGAGGCCATCTTGGGTGCATCTTGGGCCGTCTTGGAGGCATCTTGGGGCCATCTTAGCCGTCTTGGAGGCCATTTTGGCCGTCTTGGAAGCCCCTTGGGCCCTCTGGGGGCCGTCCTGGGGGCCTCTTGGGCCGTCATGGGGCCATCTAGGAGGCCTCGTGGGCGATCTTGGGGCGATCGTGGGGGCTTCTTGGGCCGTCTTGAGCCGCCGACAGGCCGAAAGAAGCAAATGTCCAAATCCTTCAAAAACCATAGGAAAAGCAATGATTTTGGCCTCTTCGGGCCCTCTTGGAGGACCTCTTGGAGGCTTCTTGGGCCGTCTTGGAGGCCTCTTGGGGGCCTCTTGGGCCGTCTTACGCCATCTGGAGGCCATCTCAGGCCGTCTTGGGTGCATCTTGGGCCGTGTTGGAGGCATCTTGGGGCCATCTTAGCTGTCTGGAGGCCATCTTGGGCCGTCCTGGAGGTCTCTTGGGCCGTCTTGGGCGCTCTGGGCGCCGTCTTGGGGGCCTCTTGGGCCGTCATGGGGCCATCTCGGAGGCCTCGTGGGCGATCTTGGGGCGATCGTGGGGGCTTCTTGGGCCGTCTTTGAGCCGCCGACAGGCCGAAAATAAGCAAATGCCAGAATCCTTCAAAAACCGATGGAAAAGCAATGATTTTGGCTTCTTCGGGCCCTCCTGGAGAAGCTCTTGGAGCGTCTGGGAGGCCTCTTGGGGGCCTTTCGGGCCGTCTTAGGCCATCTTGAGGCTATCTTAGGCCGTCTTGAGTGCATCTTGGGCCGTCTTGGAAGCATATTGGGGCCATCTTAGCCGCCTTGGAGGCCGTCGTGGCCGTCTTGGATGCATCTTGGAGGCCATCTTGGGCCGTCTTGGAGCCGTCTGGAGAGAAAAACCTTTGCAGCCACCTCTGGGCAATCCTCCCAGGACCCCGGCGGGACGCGCCGGAGCCCCAGGGGGAGTTCTTTTCGAAGAGAACCAAAGCCAAAACCGAAATCGTCTAGCACGCCAGGCACCCCTGTGATGAATCAGCAGGGGGCGGTGGATCGAGTGGCCTTCGGCCCATCCCGCCACCGTTCCTGTCGGGGGTGGACAGACCTCCTACCCTGACACGTCGATTAGTGAACTGTCCTTTTTCGGTTCTCGAGAGGGCGCCGCGGCCGTCATTTTCCAGGCTTGCGCCCTCCAGGTTTGGGCCCCAGGTCGTTGTCACTAAACCACGTTTTGCTAAAGGGGGTTCTGTCCATCCCCGATCTCTGGGTCCGTGTTGGAGCCCTCTTGGGCCCGAAGTAGTCGCGCGCCGCCACGCGCCAAGCCCCAGGATATCCGCGGCAGGCCCCGGGAGATTTGTCAACTTGGTCTCTGGGGCCCTTACCCATCGGTCGTTGAAAGTAGGTATTTTTGGATTTCCAGATTCCAATCTACTTTCAGCGCCTTCCTACTTCAAGAGTCGAGTGGTTTTCCTTTTCCTTCCTCTTCAGGAGACGTGCGGAAACCCAATCTACTTCCAGCGCCTTCCTACTTCATGTTTCTACCTACTTCTTCCGACCGATGGGTAATGACTTCTCATGACTGAGGACTGAGGCTCCGGGGATTGGGCAAAGGCCCTGCTGACACGCCCACTCCGTACACAGCGGCACGGTGGCGGATCACATCTCCGTGCTCCCTGGGACCATGTGAGCCTGCTCAGGTGTTGGGCATGGACTGCCTGATGCCCAATCTAGGGGCTAGGTGCTCCTCACTCAGGGGTGCTCCCCTCGAGAACTTCCGAGTTTGTCAACACCGCCCGTGTCTGAATGTCGTCCCTACGGGAACGACTGCATTGTTGAACGGGCTCCGCACTCGAGGGTGCCGAGATGTGCCCTCACGCTACAAACTAGTAGCCCTTGCAGCACAGCATGCTTTTGCTGAGGCGTCTTTTGATGGACACTAGCGGGGGCACATGGGGAAGTCTCCACTTTTCACTATTCTCTTGTATGTTTTTGTCCGTAGCTCTCGGTGATGTCGCTCACGATAAAAAATAGAGTGCCCCGTTGACAGATGAAATTCATATTGAAGTCTGGTGGCGTTGCCAGATGTTTTCGCACTCATGGTTTACTCATCTTCGGAAAGGAGCACCTTACAGACAATGCTCGCCTACTGCTGCTGCTGCTGCTGCTGCTGCTGCTGCTGCATACTGCTCTCCGTTCCCACCTCTTTCTCGTCTGACACGTTGCATAAATTCCTAGATTCTGCCCTCATCGACCGACCGACCGACCGACCGACCGACCGAGGAGGAAGAGGAGGAGGAGGAGGAGGAGGAGGATGAGGAGGAGGAGGAGGTCCTCCTCGTGTTCCTGCTTCTCCTTCCTCGCCACCCCGTCGTCGTCCCATTCCCCCTCCGTCTCCTCCTCCTTCCCCCTCTTTTGTCGCCTCGGAGGAGCACGGTGAGAGAAGGGATCTCATCATGGTCCTCCGCAGGGCCGCTTCCTCCCGTGTAGACCCCCAGCCCGGGCCTCGACTGTGCTTCCAGTCGGCCGGAGGCCCTGGTTCGCGAAGCTGACTACTACGGCGTCCGCTTCTTTCCCTACCAGCTGATATTCGCGGTCGGCGGCCACGACGGCCGCGAGGGAGCCAAACGGAGCCTGCACCACCCTACTCTCCTCCAGCCTCTGCCGTCCTTCCTCCATCACGGTCTCCTCTTCTTCTTCCTCCTCTTCCCCCTCCTACTCCTTCTCCTCCTCGTTCTTGTCTCTTGCCTCTCTTCGACGACCCTCGTCGTCGTTGCCGTGATTGCCATCGTCGTCCCTCTCCTCGCCCTCGTCGTCGTTGTCGTCGTCGTCGTCGTCGTCGTCGACCTTGTCGTCGTCGTCGTCGTCGTCGTCGTCGTCGTCGGCGTCCTGTTGCTCCTCCTCCCTCTCCTTCCCCTCCTCCTCCCCGTCTTCGTTCTCCTGTTGAACCAGTTGAACGCAGCCACACTCTCCCGCATCCGCGGCGCAAAGAAACCGTGCAAAAAACGTTGGGTTTCCCATGCGAGCGGCCTCAGGCCGCCACACACGGAGGGGCCATCGTGAAAGAGCCGGCACATGTCTGGCTACATCCCGAATTGTTTCGGATGCCGCGCACTCCGAGGCCGTTCTCTGCAGCACCCCCTCAAGAAAGGGGACCTGGGAACCCCGGACGCCGCGCGTTTCCGACACCACCCCACTTGCCCAGATGCCCCAGAGCCCACCCAGAGCACGTGGGAGGGGTGCGCCGACGCGGCGATCTTGCGGACGACCCCAAGGCAGGGGAGCGCGGCGAGGGCTCCCCTGGACGTCGCCCGCTGCCCGGAACAAGCACCGACACAAGATGGACCTTCCCGGCAGGACGTGTGCCCCTGGGGGTCGGCAGCCAGTTCGAGCCGGGGGGCTCCGTGGCCAGGCCAGGGCGGGCTTGGGTTTGGCCTTGCAGCGCTCCGCGTTCTCTACCCCCCCCCCAGACATTTCCCCCCCGCCTGCGGCCAATGAACTTACAGTGGAGGCCAGTCCACAAGAAACCCTCCACAGGAGACCCAACCCTGAGACCCCAGGACGTCCCTTGATTCTTGGTGTGGGAACGTCGCGCGTTCCACAGCAAAGCCATCGGAACCCAAGATACCCAGGGCAGCCTGGAGGCAAGCAGGGTGTTTCTTGGCATGGGCCTCCACTGTACCTGCCTGCGCACTCCCTTTGCACGCCGTGCCGTGCCAGCTTCGGCCTCGAAATTTTGGTCAGAACGCACCCCGGGAGAGGTCCCGGGAGTCGCGGTATCGGTACATTTTGGTTTCCCCATACACAGCGTGAGCGTGATGTAATTCCAGCCTGTGTCCAGAGCTTTGGCCAGGACCTTGGTCCACACCTCGGACAACGCGAACCCCAACGCCGAACCCCAATTGCCAATCCCGAAACGTCCCCTCCTCCTCCTCCTCCTCCTCCTCCTCCTCCTCCTCCTCCTCCTCTTCCTCTCCCTCCTCCTCCCCCTCCCCCTCTATCCTTTTTCCTGAAGGAACATGACTCCTCCTCGTCGCGCCCCCAAGCGTGGCGTCGGTAGACCGGGCGAGGCGTTTCGCCTGAGAGTTCTTCCTCACGGCGGCGGCACTGGACAAGGAACGTCGCCGGGGGGCCCAGACCCTGGCGCATCCCTTGTCGTTTCAAGGCGAGGTGGGCGGCCCGCGTTTGGCCGCCCACCGGTCGCGAGGCCCCGGGTTCCTTCTCGAAGCTATCGTTATCTAAAGCCTCCACCGTAACAGCTCTCACACACTGCGGCGTGACAGCGAGGCACTAGTGACCTGTCAGCTCTCGAGTGTAGTATACGTACTTATCGCGAGCAGGTGAATCTTTCACGAAGTGGTCCTCTATGCTGCCTAATAGAAAAGTAACTCCACCGTACATGATTCTGCAGCTTGAGGTCTGCAGCGGTGTGGCTTTCAGCATATGCTGCCCTCGCCCATAGCGGCGCGCGCCTTCGTTGGAACAGCCTGCGGCAGCTTCGAGGCTGGAGGCCCGGTGCGTGTTTTTTTGGTGTGGCTCTCGCCTCGGCGCCGAACAACTTTGCGCAGCGTCAGGGGCGGAGGGAGGGCGGCTTTCAATGTTTGACCCCTGCCTTAGCGCCGCGTTCATTCGCATGTGAATGTTTGCAGCATTTTCGTTCTTGAGGATGGAGGGCGTTTTTTTTGTTTTCCTTTGTTTGTTTTGTTTGTGCTTGTTCTTCTGTCTATATCGTTCTTAGTTTTCTTCTTCTTCTTCTTCTTCGTCTTCTTCTTCTTATTAGGTGCTATCGCATTAGTCGCGTGCATTCGTCGAAGCAACCTGCAGTTTCAAGGACCCTTAGGGTTGAAGTCCCAGGGATGGTGTTCTGGCACGGCTTCGGATTGTCAGGAAGCAGCAGGAACGTTCATTCGCGGTGTTGAAGTCACAAGAACGGCATTCTGGCACGATTTCGGATTGTCAGGACACAACAGCCACTGTGACTCGCGTTGTCGAAGTCACAGGAACGGTGTTTCGGCACGATTGAGGATTGTCTTGCGGTTGTCTTTGAATGGCACTTCCGGCATGGAACATGAGTTCTTGTAGGGACCTATGAAGAGGGAGTTTGGAAGGTGGGTTCATTGCAACATCGTTGGTGCGTCCTTGCGCTGGTCCTGCTCCTTCTCGTCCTTCTCCTCTTCCTCCTCCTTCTCCCTCTCCTTCTCCTCATCCTTCTTCGCGTGGTTTTGTTGTTGGTTTGCAGCGTCACTGCGTCGGGGGGACGACTGCGTCGAGTCTCGGGATTGGGCGCGCGAAGATGAGAGCAACACGCGAAGCAGCTAGGGGAGGAATGGAGGAAGAGGCAGCAATATGGATCTTCAAGGGGCTCCAGAAGGCTGTGTAGGTGGAACACCTTCACGACTGGTACAGTACTCGTTTTCTGTGCGTGCATGTGTCGGTGTGTATACATGCATGTGTGTATGAGTGCATGTACGTAAGCATTTATGCCACACCATATTTGCCAGTATGGCTCCCAGATAATTTGTTCGTGCGCTCTGGATGTCCACTGCGTATGATGCAATATACCAGCCACAATATATTTATAACATGCATCAAGCTGTGTGGTGCAAGCTATCTGGTGCAAGCTGCGGGATTCAGTTTATGCGATTCACGATGGAGTGCAACATATGTGGTGCAATCCACCTTGCAGAGTTTAGAGTCGTCAACTCCACTGCTCGCGCAACCATCCTACCCTCCTACCCGCAACTTTTTTTGCGAAACCCATTGCTGTGATTACTTGGCACTGGCTGGCGCATCTTTGCGGCTGCGCAAGCTCGCAAGCTCGCGTGCAGAGCGGCCAGCTGGTTTGCCACAATCCACGCAGCCGCGATGGCGCTTCCCGATGTGGATTTCCCGCCGCGTCTCAAAGGCTGCGCTGACGCGCTGGCACTGGATTGTGGGTCGGTGATTCGGGCCGGCGCGGTATCATGACGAGTTCGACAATGGCAGCAGTGGTGATAATGATGATGATGATGATGATGATGATGATGATGATGATGATGATGATGATGATGATGATGATGATGATGATGATGATGATGATGATAGTAGCGATGTTTGGTGGCGATGATGATGACAACGGTAAGGCCAATGTCGCCACCGATGCTGGTGACGACAATGACGATGATGATGTCCATGTGTCGGTGACGAAGGTCATTGACTGATGGTGGCGGCAATAGCTGCGATTGACGATGACGGTGACGGCGGTGATATGGTGGCGTGATGGAGTGATCGCGAAGAAAAGCGCGTGGAAATGCAAGACACCGTGCAGACTCTTTGTTTATACACAACAGTTGTTCCACATGTTTGTGACAACAACTTTCGTTTATCATGATTCGAGAACCATTGGTTTTGAAAGGGTTTCGACGTGCTCGTGACGGCGCTCGTGTGTGGCCTGCATGGGATAAAACGACACGGACGCGTGCGCTGGGCGCATGGCCAATCAACGTGGATGCACTGTGTGGTGAGATGAGATGGGAATGCGGATCGAACTCGCAGCCCCCCCGCCCGCCTACTTTTGGCGTGCCCTTTGCTCGCTGCCGCCCCCGCCCCTCCCCCCGTCTGCTGCCCGCCGCCCTGGCCCCCCCGCCGTTCGCTCAGCCCCCGCCCCGGCTCCTGTCAGCCCCGCTGCCGCTGCTGCTGCAGCCCCGTGAGGGGCCGGCCATTCCACTGCTTTTCTTGCGCTCGAGCGTCGGCGACTTTTTGGACGACGTGGCGCTGCGCCCGCCTGTGTGTGTGTGTGTTTGTGTGTGTTTGTGTGTTTGTGTGTGTGTGTGTGTGTGTGTGGGTTTGTTTGTTTGTGTGTGTGTGTTGGTGTTGCTGCCGTCCACCTGGGCGCTGGCGACGGCCGCACGGCTCTCGCCCACTGCCGCCGCCTCGTGGTACCCCTGAGCGGGCTGCCAGCGCCGCTGCATGTGCTTGGCCGTCGTGCGCCTCTTGTTCTGCACGCGCACCCCCCCGGGTTTGCACCCCGTCGGCACACGTTCGGTGGCAATCAGCTTCATTAGCGTATTTCGCTGACGCCTTTGCTGAGTTGGACCAGTCAGCCGCGAAGTAAACATGTGTGGGTGCCGCTTCCCCGCTCACTGTTCGTATAGTGGCCCCCGCGGTCGCAGCCGTGTGATATGGTTCCGGTTGCGGAACCGCTAGAACTGAGCGTTGCCGCTGCGATGACAGGGCTTTACTTCTGACCACGCGGCATCTGTCTGAATGCCAGGGTGCGGGGCTTGCGCGTTGCAGCCAAGGCGGGGGAAACAGTTGCCGCCGTACGAACTTACTGCAACTACGCACTGCTGGGTCTGGTCATATCGCTTGTGCTAGGCCGGTTGCCTTTGCGCGGCTATGGGTCGAATGCCGATGAATGCGGTGATCTCGTCACCTTGCACTGCTTGCTGGGTGGTTCTATCAAGTACTCCTTTACAAGGCTCGGTATGATCATCGTGGGGACGCGCTGGAAGTATTGTTGCTGTGCTGCAGCATGGCGCTGCCGTGCCTCTGAATGGTCGTCGTGCTGCTTCTCCAAGGCCTTCGGGGGGCCTCCTGGGGGTTCCTTCGGGGGCTAACTCTGGGAGCCTTGCTCATGGTCAGCTTCGTGCCTTCGTCCCGTGTCAGGACCCCGCTCTTCGGCGCTCCTCCGCGGCACTGGCGGGACTGCACGCGGCGGTGCGCCCCCCCGCCCCCGCCCCTGCTTAGGCGCAGGCGGGGCAGCAGCGGTCGCGGCGGGACGAGGCGGGACGAGGCGGCCTCGTCGGTCGCTCGAGCTCGCCGTCGTAGGCTGAAGCGCAGCAGCGCAGGGTCGGAGCGGGCCTCGCCGCGGGCGCCTCCGTGGCGGGGGCGAGGCCCCGGCGAAGCGCGCGCGGCCCCTCGAGCCGCGCAGGGCACCGCGCTGCTCCACGGCGGGTCTCCTGCAGGTCTCTCCGGGGGGGACTGCTCAGGCTCCTCCTCCTCCTCCTCCTCCTCCTCCTCCTCCTCCTCTTCCTCCTCCTCCTCCTCCTCGTCCTCCTCCTCCTCCTCCTCCTCCTCCTCCTCCTCCTCCTCCCTCTTCCTCCTCCTCCTCCTCCTCCTCCTGCTCCTCCTCCTCCTCCTCCTCCTCGCCCCTCGGAGGCCTTCGCAGGGCGTCTCGTGGGCCTCCCAGGAGGGCCTCTCGCCTGGGCGCAGCCTGGGGGCCTCTTGGGGGATCGTCAGGGGCGGCAGCCCGGCGAGCCGTGGGTGCTGCATCCTCGGTGGGGCCTTAGCGCGGGTTCGCTCGGCTGGGTGGCGCGCGGGACCTCGGCAGTGCGCTGGACCTCCTCCTCCTCCCCCTCCTCCTCCCCCTCCTCCTCCTCCTCCTCCTCCTCCTCCTCCTCCTCCTCCTCCTCCACACTGTGCTCCTCACTGTGCTTCTGCTACTCTCCTCCTGTTCTTCTACTTCCACGCTAGCCTCTTGCTCGTCCTGCTCCGCCTCCTGCTCCTGCCTCCTCCCGGCTGACCCTCCTCCCCATGCCTGCCTTGCCCCTCCCCATTCCCCTTGTTTGTCCTGCTCCTTTGTTCTCTGCTTCTCCGTCTGATCTTCTTCTTTCTCCCCCCCGTTGTGTGTGGCTGCGAGTAGTTCGAGCGCCGACACCCAGTCGCGCCATGCTACGACTATTTTGTGCCACCGAGGTGCTCTGCCTCGCCGCTCCCCGCTGCGCCAGGATGTGTGTGTGTGTGTGTGTGTGTGTGCGTGTGTGTGTGTGTGTGTGTGTTTTTGCGTGCCCCCGCGCAACTCTTCTGGCGCGCCAGGCTACGAGCACCTCCGCGCCACCGAGGTCCTCGATGTGAACAACCACTGCTGGCGACCCTGCCGGCCCATGAGCACCGAGAGGACCCGATCCATGCCTTCCTCTGGTGGTGCGTTGACCTGGGGCACCCGCGGGGGCGCCAAGATAACCGCGCGTCGCTCACCGCGGGGCGCGAGGCACGAAGTTAGGTTGCATGATCGGGTTGTGGAGGGAGGCGCGGGCTGTCCCAGCCATGCATGGTATCTTTGGCGCACTTTCTGCGCGAGGGGCTTCTTCGATAGTTTCAGAATGTTCCTAACAGTTTTGTAACTCCGCGCTTTTCTATTGACCATGGCTCCTAGAGGGCCTCGGGGAAGCCAAAGAGCGCCCAGAAGGGCCCCGAGAAGGCCCCTAAGAGGGTCCCCAGGTTGGCCGGGACTGCTCCAAGAGGGCCCCCAAGACGGCGCAAGACAGCGATGGTCTGGCCCACAAGCGCCCCGAGATGTCCCAAGAGGACCCGTAGAGGGCCCCGCGTGAGCCCAAGGTGGCCCAAGAGGGTCCACGGTGGCTCCAACATGGCCTTCAGGTGCCACACGAGGTCCCCAAGAGGACGCCAGTTCTGGCCCCGAGATAGCCCTGAGACGGCCGCGCGAGAGCCTCGCGGACGATGATGAAGATGCATCCCGTGCAACAAAAGTTTATGACCAGAGCGGCACGGGGCGAAAACGATGTTGGAACAACGCGAGCGTGACCCTTCACATTAAGTTGCCGTCGCCTGTCAACGCGAACACACTGGGCAGTTCATGGCAGGCGTCCTGTGTAGGACCGAAAGTGCACAGCCGCACCTAGAGACACCCATGACCGCGGCCCAGCGAAGGGTGAACTTGAAAGAACACCCGGGCATTCAGTGAGATCCGCCTATCGATGTTGCCATCGGGCGCCCACGCCAAGGGAGGATGCATTGATCACACTGCCACGGTTCACACACACACGCGCGTTGCCAACATTGAAAGGCGAACACCACTTAATGATTTTCTTGTTGGCCTTGTCGGTGGCATACCATCCAATCTGATAGTCTTGTGGATTTGGTGAAAATTGCCTCAGCTGTGTAATCAGGGTGAACATGATGATGAGGATGATGAGGACGATGATTCTGATGTTGTTGACGACGATGATGATGATGGTGGTGGTGATGATGCTGCTGATAATGGCGATGATGACGCTGATGACGATGATGCTGATGAGCAGGATGATGATGCTGATGAGGGTGCTGATGGTGATGATGATGGAGATGCCAACGCTGCTGCTGATGGTGGTGGTGGTGGTGGTGATGATGCTGATGATGATGACGATGACGATGCTGCTGACGATGATGACGATGATGTGGTTGGTGATGCTGATGATGCTGATGATGGTAGTGATGGCTACGCTGACAAGGATGATGGTGGTGACGACTGCTGATGATGATGATGATGGTGCTGATGCCGATGTGGATGCTGATTGTGATAATGGTTCTACTGACGACGTTGATGATGACGAGTCTGATGCTGTTGATCATGATGATGATGATGATGATGATGATGATGATGACGAGGATCATGACGATGATGTGTATGTGGATGGTGCTAAGCATGATCTTGCTGATGATGATGAAGACGATGATGGTGATAATGATTATGACGATGATGATGATGATGAGGATGATGATGAGGATGATGATGATGCTGATCATACCGATGCTGATGCGGGTGCTGCTGCTGTTGATGGTGATACAGGCAGTTCAAAAAACTAGGACGGCATGCCCGGGCTCAGTCTCGCGGGCCTACTCTAAAATCATATTTTGAAAATTCCTTGTTTTGTTTCATGCCCTGCCGTCATCGCGCGAGTGATACTCGAAAGCCTAGTTAAATAATGGTCACGGTTACCTTCCCCCAGATTTTCCTCCGGATTGTCCTCCAGATCTTCACCCAGATCTTCCCCCAGATGTTTCCCTTGATCTCCCCGCAGATCTTCACCCAGATCTCCGCCCAGAAACCTCACGCAGATCATGAGGTCTTCCTCCAGATCGTTATTCAGATCTTTTCCTCCCTTTCCCCAAAAAATCCCACCCCGGATCTTCACCCAGATCTTCGCCCAAATCCCCCTAGATCTTCACCCAGATCTTCCCCCAGATCCTCGCCAAGATCTCCAGATCTTCCCCCAGATCTCCTCCCAGATCTTTCCCCAGATCTTTCTCCAGATCTTCTCTTAGATCTTCCCCCAGATCTTTCCCCCAGATCTTCTTCCAAATCTTCCCCCAGATCTTCGCTTAGAGGTCTTCGCCCAGATCTTCCCCCAGATTTCTCCCCCCCAGATCTTCCCCCCAGATCTTCTTCCAGATCGCCGCGCAGATCTCACACCAGATGTCCCCCCAGATCTTCCCCCAGATCTCCCCCCAGATCTTTCTCCAGAGTTTCCTCAAGATCTTCCCTTCGATCTTCACCCAGATCTTCCTCCCAGACCTTTCCCGCGCGTCCTTCTCCCTCTAGATTTTCCCCAGATCTTCCGGCAGATCTTCCTCCAGATCTTCCCCTGGATTTTTCCCCAGCATATTCCCTCAGATTTTTCCCCAGATCTTCCCCCAGATCTTCCTCCAGATCTTCCTCCAGATCGTTCCCCAAATCTTCCCTCAGATCTTTCCCCAGATCTTCCCCCAGATCTTCCCCCAGATTTCTCCCCAGATCTTCCCCCCGATCGTTCCCTAAATCTTTCCCCAGATCTTACCCCAGATCTTCCACCAGATCTTCTCCCAGATCTCCCCCCAGATCTCCCTCAGCACATTCCCCAGATTTTCGCCCAGATCTTCCCTCAGATGTCCCTCCAGATCTTCCTCCAGAGTTCCCTCCAAATATTGTATCCGAGATGTTTCCTCAGATCTCCCCCAGATCTTCCGCCACAGATTCCTCCAGATTTATCGCTTTGCAACCGCGCCAAATCTTCTATTGGACACTCCCCAGATCTCCCGACAGATTTTCCCCCATATCTTCCCCCTGCTGTTCCAGGGCGTCCCTTGTTTTGTTTCATGCCGCGTCGCGTGTCCGGTTCTTGTTTTTTAAATTTCTAGTTTCGTTATCTGCCTCGTTTCGGGGCTGCGATCTCTACGCGACAACCTAGATGTTTTAATTCCTTGTTTTTAGAATTCCTTTTTTTTCGACCTCCCTATATGGTGATGATGGGGTTGCTGCTGATGATGTGGTTGGTGATGGTAATGATAACCCGGTTTGTGGCGACGACGATGACGATGACGATGACGATGGTGGTGATGATGATGATGATGATGATGATGATGATTATGACTATGACGACGATGCTGATGCCGATGATGATGGCGATGCTGATGATGATGTTGGTGATGCTGATGACGACTACGACGACGAGGACGATGGCGATTCTGATGGCGATGACGACGACGATGCCGCTGATGCTGCCGCTGATGATGTTTTTGCTGATGCTGAGCTTGCTGATGATGACGATGGCGATGGTGGTGGTGATGATGATGATAATGATGATGATGATGATGATGATGATGATGATGATGATGATGATGATGATGATGATGATGGTGGTGGTGGTGGTGGTGGTGGTGACGAGGAGGAGGAGGCGGAGGAGGGAGGGAGGACAATGGGGAAGATAATCAGGAGGAGGAGGAGGAGGAAAGGAGGAGGAAGGAGGAGGAGGAGAGGAGGAGGAGGAGGAGGAGGAGGAGGAGGAGGAGGAGGAGGAGTAAGAGGCAGACGAAGGCACATGAGGAAGCGGAGTAGGAATAGGAAATGCCCCCCCCCCAATTGCGCACCCTCTTCACTCCTTCCTCCCTTGCCCCCTCATCATCATCCTCATCTTTTCTCATCCTTGCTGCTCCTCCTCAGCTTGTGTTTTGTCATCTTCCTCGGCCTCTTCGTCATACTTGTCCTCTATCCTCCCTCCCTCCTCCTTCATCTTCACCCTCCTCTCCTTTTTCCTTCTCATCCTCGTTCTCTCTCCTTCCTCCTCTTCCTCCCTCCCCCTTCCTTCCTCAACCATTTCTGCTCCTCTGCCTCGCGCCTTCTCACCACCCACTGCCTCCTACTGTCGGCTGGGGTACAGCAGCTGAGGGACATGTATGCTCACACTTTGGCGTATTAGTACTTCACCCGTAAGGCCAACGAACACACTAGTTTGAACCGCGCTGTCAGCAACGGAAGCGTTGGCTCGCGCTATGCTGTAGGCCTCAATACAGGTAGAATCTGCGCGCGTGCGAAACGTGCGAGGCGCGCGCAGGCGCTGCATTTCTCTAAGCTGGTGAACAGGGTATGCTTATATTTACGTTGCGACGTCTTGTGTTGCAATCGGTGTGTTAGGGCGGCGCCGCTTCAACAACAATCGGCAGTATGTTTGCGTGCTTTGCTGTGATATTCTGGATTTTGCGCTGTTGTGCAAGGCGTCGCGTTGATCTGCAGTGTGGCGCGTCACTTTTCAAGGGGCTGCAATCATTCCTTTGATGCGACTGCTTAGTGTGGCGCTTGGTCGCTGTGCTTTCAACAGCCTTGCCTCGCTTAGGGTTGCATTTTCTCCAGCCGCTTTGTATTCGCTTGCTTCGCGTTGGTATGCGCTTCTTCGCTTCGGTTTACCTTGTTTTCGGTGTGCTGCATGGTTTTGCATTGTATGGCTTTGCTTCGCATCGCGCTGTCCTGCTCTCTTCATCATTGGCTGCTCTGCCTCACTTCGCTCTGCTCTGCACCGCTTTGCACTGCAGCGCGCTGCTGCTCGAGACTGGAATGCCCTCGGGGAACCCCCGAGTGCCCGCCCCCAGGGCCTCCAAGGCGGCCCGTTGGACTCCCAATGGGGGGCTTTTCCAGGGAACCCCCACGTAGAGACTCGAGGAAACGCAAAGATGGATCAAGGCGTGTGCACTAGCGACAGGTCCCGCCTCTGCACAATCGACGCGCTCCGTCGCCAGAGTAGGCGGCATTGGCTGCACGCTTCGGGGGGTACTCTTCCCCGATCGGTACATCTGGCGCCCACGCGCCAGATCCGCGGATCCCCAAGACATGCCAGCGCTTGTTCAAGAGACACAGTCGCCACCGGCCCTCCTTCGCGCAGAAGAGCCATGACCAATTGGGCACATTCAAGCGGGGAGACGTGGGGACCCGACACGCCTGCAGCAGCGTGGCAAGGTGGCGCACGCGCCGCCTTGGGGTCTTCTCTTTGCAGGGTGTCGTGTTAATCTTTCGACCAGCATCGTAGCGAGAGGCCGAACAGTCTCACGCTGTGCCGAAGTGGGATTCCGCGGCTCGCCCCTCTTGCTCTTGTTCGCAACTGCGGGGGCTCCCATACCATCCCACCTTCAGCCTCATGACCAGTGTTATCCTCAAAAGGACTTACTTCGGAGCGGCCACCCTGAACAGCAAGCTTCACATTTTCGGCGGGCAGAACCTGGACTACAAAGCCATGAGCGACCTGGAGGTGTATGACTGCCTCCGGGACACCTGGGAGCCAGGCGCTGGCATGAGGTTCCCGCGGCGCAATTGCGCGTCGGTGGAGCTCGACAAACGCATATACGCCGTGGGTGGCTTCGACGGGACAGGAATTACCGACCAGGTCGAAGCGTACGACGCTCGCCTGAAGAGCTGGATGCAGGTTGCGAGCTTGCCAACGAAGCGCTCGTCGGCCGCGTGCTCAGGGCTGAACGGCAAGCTTTACGTCATGGGTGGCACCTCCGGCACGCGCCTGAGGACCGTCGATGTCTTCGAGCCGCGCATGAACAAGTGGGAGACTCACAAGTCGGAGATGAACTGCGAGCGCTCTGCCGGGCAGGCGATCAGCTGCGTGAACCACGTCTTCGCCGTCGGTGGCATCGACAACGCGCAGAACCCGCACGCGAGCCTGGAGTGTCTCGACTACGACAGCGGCTCCTTCAGCCTGCGGTAGTCGGCGGCGCGCAGAAAGGGGTGGGGGGGGGCGCAACGGATGCAGCCTCTGGGAGGGCAAGGCGGCCTCTTTGAGGCCCGCTGGGCCTTTGAGAGGCCTGCTCGGACGCCTCCTAGCGCTTCTGGGACCCTCCCCACAACGATAGCAACGACAAGAGCGATAGCAACGATCAATATTTTTCTCCTTCTGTACTCGATGGGTAGAGTACGTGGCGCGGAGCAAAAGAGGGCTCGCCGAGGATTTGCTTACTCTCGGTCGTTGTGATCGTCGTCGGTGGCCGCCGTCCACCTTGGAAGATCATCCTGCTCGCCCTGCCGTGCCCCTTCTGCTCGCCGCCAAGGTCGTCCATGCAGGAGCCGCGCATGGAGTTCGCTGCGGCGGTGATCTCCGACACGATCGTGGTCGGCGGCGGCCAGAACGGGGGCGTGCTCTCCTCGACCGAGTTCTACCGGCCCGAACTGGACGAGTGGCAGGCCGGCCCGTCGATGATGATCCCGAGGTGCCAGCCCGACCGAAAGGCAGGGTCCATTTTGTTCCGATCGATCCGATTCGACATGGATTCCGGCCTGCTCGATCCTATTCGCTTCCGATATTTCGACGACGAGATTGTTCTCGATACTCGCATGGCGCCTCTTGTGCATCCTGGCCCGGCCGAGTCGATTCGATTCCGACTCCGTGCCGATGCGGCCTAATTCGATGAACGTTCCGATTCGATCCGATCTCCCGACTCGATGCTGATTGACCCCGCCAAAAGCCAGGGGAGGTCAAGCGCTCGCCACGAGATGGACGGGGTCGTGAGGGAAACGGATCCCAGGGATCGGCGCTCTCCCCAGGACCAGCTCCTCCTCCTGAGCTGTGCTTCGACGGCCCTAGTGCTCGTGGAGGGCCCCAGGTGCGGGCAAAACTTAGATCTATATCCACTTCGTCTTGGAGTTTCTGGGAAGGAGTGCCAAAAGGCAGAGGCGCAGTGGATATGGATACAAATTTGGCCTCTAGGGACCAGACTTTTTTTAGCCTTGTCCACTGCGCCTCTGGTTTCTGGGGAAGGGAGCCCGGAGCTCCGAAACGCAACGGATATTGATACAAATCTTGCCGCACCAGGGGCCCGAAAGCAGCGACCGGCCTCCAGGACCTCCCTGCCCTCCAGGACCCGCCTCCTCCATGACGAGCGTACCCTTGGGAGAGAGGCCTTCTCCTCCTCCTCCTCCTCCTCCTCCTCCTCCTCCTCCTCCTCCTCCCTCCTCCCTCCTCCTCCCTCCTCCCTCCTCCCTCCTCCCTCCTCCCCTCTCCCTCCTCCTCCTCCCTCCTCCTCCTCCTCCTGCTCCTCCTGCTCCTCCTGGTCCTCCTGGTCCTCCTGGTCCTCCTGGTCCTCCTGGTCCTTCTCCTCCTCCTCCTCCTCCTCCTCCTCCTCCTCCTCCTCCTCCTCCTCCTCCGCCTCCCTCGGGGCCCACCCCTGGAGGCCCTCGGGGAGAGGCCTTGGCGCCTGCTGTGGCTGGAACCGCGGCCCCCGCGGGGCCTCTCACATAGGTGCACGTCGCCTTGGGAGGAGGAGGAGGAGGAGGAGGAGGAGGAGGAGGAGGAGGAGGAGGAGGAGGAGGAGCTCTTTCCGAGCTCTTTCAGGCCGCCACGTCGTGGCACGACCGCGCGGGCGCGCGCTCGGCGCGCGCGCGCGGCTCAGCGCTGCCCCGCAGCACTGCACTCCCCCTCCCTCGGCCCCCGCCCACAGGGGGACGTGGCGGGGTTCAACCGAGGGAGGCTCGCGAGGGTCTGGAGCAGGGCGCTGCAGTCTCCTCCCTGGCTCCGCCTCGCGAGGCGGTGCAGGTCCTCCTCGCAACTTCTGCACGCATTTCTCGCATTCTCTCACGGCGGCCCGATCTCAGCACTGTAGCTGGTCACGTTGGGCTGCCGCTTCACTCTCGCTCTCTTCTCGCACGCGCCTTATCGGGATGCGTCTCTTGCCCTGCGTGCTCTTCAGGACCATCTTCGCGAAGTCTGGCCTGAGAGACCACGTGGGCCTGCCGTCTGAGCCAAGCAGGGTGAAGGGGCTGAACTTCTTGCTAGGTGTGATGCTGTACTTCTGGTATCGGGTCTCGAGCTTCTGCTGGTCTTCCTCTGGGAGGGGGCCCCACTCGCCGAGGACACCCTTCGCTTCCCATTGGGCCCCAGCGCTCTCGCATCGGGCTCGACCGTCGCCTCCCACTTCTCGCACGTGCTGTTGCCATGGCCTTTGCCTCCTGCCAGCCACGTTGATGCGATCACTTCTCGAGCCATCCACATGGCCCTGCTGGTGCCGTCCATCCGCGGTCCGTCCACTGGAGGCTGAGATCCAGATCCAGCCATGGCTACGAGGAGCTGTAGCTGGGCTCGTGTGGGCTCCGCTTCACCGCCAGCTTCTCGCACCTGCCACTGCCCGTCTTTCTCGCACGTACAGCCTGCGCCGTCCTGAAGCTGCCACTGCCCGTCCTTCTCACACGAACTGGCCACTCCCACTGTAGGCTGCCACTGCCCGTCCTTCTCGCACGCACCGACAGCCTCTCGTAGCTGCCACTGCCCGTCCTTCTCGCACGGACTGGCCGCTCCCTCTTGTAGCTGCCACTGTCCGTCCTTCTCGCACGAACTGTTCGCTCCCACTAGAGGCTGCCACTGCTCTTTCTTCTCGCACGCACCGACACCATCCTCTTGAAGCTGCCACTGCTCGCCATTCTCGCACGCACAGTCCGCTCCTTCTTGAGGCCGCCACTGCCCGTCTAAACTGCCCGTTTCGCAAGCACCTTTCTTGATGGTGTAGCTGATGACGTTTGGATTCGGCTTCGCCTCTGCCGTTACACCATTCTCGCTTTTCTCACACTTCTCGCCACGTGTCGGTGGAGACTGCCGCTCCTGCACTCCCTTCTCGCACGCGCTGCTCTGAGTGCTGATGCTTTCGATGATGTCTGGCTCTAGCTTCGCCTTCCCCATTGCGCCGCCTTTCTCGCACGCGCTCGTTTCACATGCACCTCCCTTGATGGTGTAGCTGATGACGTTGGGCGGCGGCTTCGCCTCCCCCGTTGCACCATTATCGCATTTCTCACACTGCGCACCACGTGTCGGTATGGGCTTTTGCTCCTGCTCTCCATTTTCGCACGCGCTGTTCCAAGTGCTAAGGCTTGCGATGATGTCGGGCTCCAGCTTCGCCTTCCCCATGCCGCCATGCTTCTTGAAGCTGCCACCACATAATGCCCTGATCCCAGCGTTGTAGCTGATGGAGTCGGGCTCTACCTCTGGCTCCTGCAACCATTGCTCGACGTGTTGGGCGGATTCGATGCCCCCGCAGTCCAACAGGTCCGGCCAGATACCGAAACCGAAGTCGAGTGCAACCTGTCTGCAGGTTGCAAGGCGCAGCCGCCGCCACGCGCGCCGCTGGCTCTTGCTCGGGCGCCAATCCCCTGCCAGGGGCGCTCTCGAGTGCTCGGCCATCGGCGCCCGCAGCAGGCCGTCACCACATCTCTGCTTCGGGCGCGCCCTCGGCGCTGGGGGCGGGCTCTCGGGCAGCTGTGCCCGTTCGAGCCGCCACCTAGGAGGAGGAGGAGGAGGAGGAGGAGGAGGAGGAGGAGGAGGAGGAGGAGGAGGAGGAGGAGGAGGAGGAGTCCCCTCTCTTCCTCTCCCCCGTCCTCCACCTCCCCTCTCGCGGGGTCGGAGCCCTTGTACTCTTGGCCCAGGGGAGGCAGTGCCCCCATCTTACGACGTGGCGCGCACCAGAACGTGCCTCGCCGTCAGCGCGTCTCGCCTTCAAGCGGAAGCCGGCGGGAGGCTGGCGGAAGCCAGGGGCGACGCGCGCGCCGAGAAGTCTCGTGGCACGAGCCCCGTGGCGGGCGCTCTCGGGCAATGCCGCTCGGGAGGCGGCATGCTGCAGCATGTTTGTGCCGTCTGGTCTGGTCGGACGCGCGCCTCCAAGGGGGACGCGTGGTATGAGTGTGTCCTTCTGCGGCCCTTGGATCCGTTCGTTCCCCGTGCGCGTGTGCCTCCTGATCCGCGAGCGGGATGCGGGGTCCATAGGACTCTGGGCGAGGCCGGGCCGAGAGGGCGCGCCCCGAAGTCGGGCCCTCGGATCGAGGGGGCCGGGGGGGGGGGCGGGGAGGGCGAGGCCGCAGGGTTGGGGGAGGGAGGCGCTTTCGAAGGAGGCGGTCAGGATGGACAGCGAAACGGAAGCACACATAAGCACGGAGTGGAGGGCGAGAGAAGCATCCGGGACGTGTGGAGGCATACATGGGGAGTCCTGGGCTTTGCGTCGATTTGCTCGTGTCTCCTTGGGCACCTCTGTACAAGGCGGCGCAAGCACGGACTTCGAGCTCCGCGCGGATCTCCTGGATCTGCGCTGCGGCCCCCCTGCGCGCCAGGGGCGGCGTAGGGGCAACGCCGGAGCGTGCTGCCAGGGGGGCCTGGTGCCGATCCAGGAGATATCCGCGCGGGCCTCCGATCGTTTACGTTTATGTTGTTGTTCCTCTGCTTCTTCTTCTTCTGCTGCTCTTCTCTTCTATTCTTCTTGTTATTATTCTTCTTCGTCTCTTTTTCTTTTTCTTCTTCTCTTCTCTTCTTCTTTTTCTTATTCATCTTCTCTTATCCTTCTCTTATTCTTCACTTCTCTTCTTCTTCTTCTTCTTTTTCTTCTTCTTCTTCTTCTTCTGCTGCTCTTCTCGGCGGCGCGCCAGGGGGGGGGGGGGGCAACGAGATGGAGAAGAGAAGGCGGCGGGGCTTCTCAGAAGCCCTGCGGCCTCTTGAGACGGTTTCTGCGTCCTCGGGGAAGGCTCGGAAAGCTGTCCGGGACGCCCGAGGCCATCCGAGCCTTCCGAGAAGGCCCGCCCCGTCTGACGTCCCCCCCTTGGGCCCGCTGCAAGAGGCTTTTACGCCATTCCGACGACCCCCAGAAGCAGGACGAAATCGATGTGTGAGGCCTTTTGGGGCCTCTTGGAGCCACGCAACACACAATGTTACGTGAACTGGGCGGCGGAGGCCAAGTTGGACAAGTGAGACCTCAATGAAGGTCCTGCCCCGCGCGGGCCACCCTGACAGCACTTTATCCTCCTCTTGTTGGCGTCCTGGGCGCGTCTCCAGGACTCCGGGAAGTCTCTTGGGCGTCGCTGGTGGTGCGGGGGGCCCTCTTGGGGCGGAGGGCGGGCTTCGGAGAGTTTTCTTTTATGTTTGGGCTCCTCCTCCTCCGGAGAGCTCTCTTTTATGTTTGGGCTTCTCCTTCGGAGGGCCTCTTCTGCTTCCCTCCTTCGCAGCGCCTCTTTGCTCGTGTTGCTCCCCCTTCGGGCAGCTAGTTTTTTTTTTGGGGGGGGGGGCGGCGGACGGACAGGATTCGCAGCTGCTTATGGCTGGGCCCTCCGCCAGGACCATTCTGTGTTTCTGCTCCTCCTCCTCCTCCTCCTCCTCCTCCTCCTCCTCCTCCTCCTCTCGTGCTCTTCTGTGGATCTCGGCTCCGCCGGCGCGCCGTGCGCGGCCCCAGGTACGGGCACCAGTACCTGCTGTGCACGCTGTGAGGCCGCGGCCTCCTGCGACCGCTGCCGGCCGTGGCGCCGCGGTGCCACGGTGCCATCGGGCGAGTGTCCGGCTCGGCTGCCCGTGGTCAATGCCTGGCGCTTCGCGCGCCCCCCCCGGAGCCCATCTATACAACGACACGAAGATCGGGACGAAATCGGATCGGGATAACTCGAAATCTCTGAGAATCGGCGGGTTTGGAGGATGTGTTGGGCGCCGCGGCCGCTCCAGAGCGTTCCGGAACGCTCTGAGAGCTCTCCGGAACGCTCTGGAGCGATTTATCCCGATCCTAGCCCTGTTTTAATCTACGACAGGGCTCGATTTGATTCTTCCCATTCGATGCGTTTCGATGTCGACGGCTGCCGCTCCCGCTTCCGCTCCGGGTCGACTTCGGCTTCCGGTCCACTGTCGGGGCTCCGATCTCCCAAGGGAGGCCCACCAGCCTGCCGATCTCCGCCGGTCCGGCTTCTCCCGAGCCGGCTGCCGATTTCCGCCGATCCGATTCCTTTCGATCGGCGGTCCGACTCATCGATGCGATTCGGGGCTCTCCTGCCAGGAGCGGTGCCCGGGTGGGTTGGCTTAAGTCGGGCATGTCTCTCTGCAGGAGGAATATTCAAAGATTGTCGAGAAGCAGTGTGGGGAAGATGCTTCGACCATCCTTGCCCACCTTGGAACATTTTGGGGTAGATGTTTCGACCGTACCTGACCATCTTTGGACATTTTTTGGGGAAGATGTTTCGACCAGACTTGACTATCTGTGAACATTTCTCGGCCATTATTTGCTTTCCTTGTGGGAGGACATGCCCGGCCTAAGGGTTGGCCTGGAGGTGGGGGGGCGGGCCAGCCGTCCCAGCGAAAAGCTCGGGGTCGGCCCTGCGCCGGCTCCAAGAGTAACGCCGGGCATGCCCCTGTACAGGCGGGATATTCGAGGAGACTCGAAACATGGTCTTGGGACGATATTGGGGCGTCTTTTTTTTTGTGTGTAAAAGAGCTTATGTTTTGACAATTTCTCTCCACCTAGGCTTGCCCTATAGGAAGCCTGGCTCATCATAAGTAATTGGCCTTTGGGGCCCCCTCCTTTTTCCAATGGCCCCCCCTTTTCCAATGGCACCCCCTTTTTTCCAATGGCACTTGCTTGCTTGCTCTTGCGTGCTTGCTCTCGCTTGCCCTTGCTCTCGCTTGCCCTTGCTTGCACTTGATCGCTGGCTCTTGCTTGCTTGTTATCGCTCGCTTGCGCTTGCTTGCTTCTGCCTGCTTGCTTGCGCTTGCTTGATGCTGCTCCTCCCGTCCTGCTCCCGTCCTCCTGTCGTCCTCCTCCCATCTCCCGTCCTGCTCCCGTCCTCCTGTCGTCCTCCTCCCATCCTCCTCTCGTCCGCCTCCGGTCCTCCTGCCTATTTGGAGTCAACGCTGGCTGACATTCATTCTCGTCCAAAATCCGCCTGCAGGAGGACGTGCCCGACCTACAGTCGGGGCCCTGAAGAAGGAACCCTTTTGGTTGGGGAGGGGCTCCGCGTTCCTTAAGTGTTTCACAGCTTGCCTCAGGTTTTCCTTAGGCTTCCGATCGGACATCGAAGTTCAACTTCTCGAGGAAAAAGGGGCCTCGTTCCTGATTTAGGGTGCCTTCGGTCGACGCCTCGACTGTAATTCACGAGTCGACCAGCCAGGCCTTCGCGGACCTTTCGCTCTGGGAGCCTCGCGGTGCCTTCTCCGGGCCCTCTCGCGGGGCGCGCGCGGGGGCCCTCCCGGGGGGGCCCTCGGGGGCTCCCCCTGGGCCTGCCTCGGAGGCCCCATTGGGGGCCGTCTTGGGGAGGTCTCCGAGGCCTTGGGATTCCAGGAGAGGAAAAAGCACACAGACACAATGAATCCTCGATTCCTCCGAAAATCTGGGGAAATATGGGAAGTGGGGGGGAAAACAGAAACCCGGAAAATATTGGGAAATATGGGGGATCTTTTTATTTGTGTGTATTTATTTGTGTGTCCTGGGGCCCCTTCAGGATTGTGCACCCGGCGCGAGGCCTTGGCTGGGGCCATCTTGGAGGGCATTGATCAACGAGGGGGCGGCGCGATTAGCGCTGCCCCTCCAGGGCCCGAAGCATCCTCTCCTGGAGCCCTCTGGGGCCGCTCTCGGGACGCTCGTGGACGCTCTCGGGGCTGTCTTGGAGCCTTATGGGTCCCTCCTGGGGCTCTCTTGGGCGGCCTTGGAGCTTCGATGCGGCCTCAAACGCCCATCAGAAGCGAAAGAGCGGACAGCGAACCTGTTATCGAAACACCACGTGATCTCCGCCCGCGTGGGGCCCGCCTCGTGAGCTGCTGCAGTGGATGCTTCGACGCGTTTGTGGAAGTCTCCCTTTCCCTCTCTGCGCTCCTCTCTTCGCTCTCGGACCACCCTGTCTCAGGAGGGGGAAAAACACACAGACACAATTATTTGTCGATTTCCAGGAAAATATGGGAAAATATAGGAAGTGGGGGGGGGGGAAGACAAAAACCCAGAACATATGCGAAAATATGGGGGATTATTTTATTTGTGTCTATTTATTTGTGTGTCCTGGGGCCCCTTCACTGTCGCTCGTGCACAGCTTGGGCGCAAGAGGCGGACGAGGGACGGGGGCAAGGGGCTTCGGCGACTTTAATATGCGAGGCCGATCATCGAAGTAATGGTCTTCGGCCCATCCCGCTAGTGCGCTCGGGTCGTGTCCCAGAGGCCTCGGTGATATTTTTGGGGATCTTTGGGGGGGCTTCTTGTTGGGCTCTTGAGGGCCTTTGCGGCCCACTCGGGCGAGTATTGGGGCCTGTTGGGGCCCTTGGTGAGCGTCTTGGCGGTCTTGGGATCGTGTTGGAAGGGTTGGCTTCCAGCCGTGCGGCAGTGGCGTGCTTGCTGGGCCCCTCTTGGGACAGTCTTTTGGGTTTCCCGGGACCACATTCGCGGAGTCAGTACCCCCCCCCCCCCTGCCCCTCCTGGAGCTTGTCCCCGACACCCCCACGGGACATGCCCCTGAGACCCCTTCCCCGCTTGCAAGTGACCAGATGGAAGGGGCTCCCCGTCGACGCGATTGCAACCTGTGTCGACTCCTGTCGGGCTGGCGAGCTTGGAGAGCCCCAGGTGGCCCGAAGGGGAGTTGGAGGCGAGCTTCGCATGAACAAGTAGCTCCCAGGACCACCTTTGAACGACCAGCCCATAACCCCCCCTCACAGGCGCCGACTGGGTTGTCGGATTGATAAAGGACCAGTGGCGAGACGCTCCCCAGAGGAGAAGGAGGAGGAGGAGGAGGAGGAGGCGGAGGAGGAGTAGGAGGAGGAGGAGGAGGAGGAGGAGGAGGAGGAGGAGGAGGAGGAGGAGGAGGAGGAGGAGGAGAAGAAGGGGGCCTGGAAGAGGAGCCGCGCTAGACCACCCAAGCTCAGAAGGCTGGTGGGACTCTGCCGCCGTGCCAGTGCAGCGTCGAGATGGTTGCAGGTTGGGTCTAGGAGGAGGAGGAGGAGGAGGAGGAGGAGGAGGAGGAGGAGGAGGAGGAGGAGGAGGAGGAGGAGGATTCTGCTGTTCCTTCGCAGGCCCCCAGGGTTCGGGCACGATTGCTCTGCTGGACAGCCTTGGGGCCGCCCGGGAGGTTCCCGGCGCCGTCTTGAGGCTATGCAGGCCTGGTATTTGCAATTTTCGGGGGTTGGGGTTTCGCCTTGTGCGGGTCCTGAACAGTCATGGGTCCTGAGCTGCCCGGGTCCCATCTTAGGCTGGTGCTGGGCCGTCTTTGGCCGTCTCTTGTGGACCGCTCTTTGGGCGTCTTGGAAATACGCTGGGACTTTTAGCGGCCTCCTGGAGCGAAAAAGGGTGACATGCAGATTCAATTCAAACATGGCCTCTTGTTTTTCATGCTCTGGACCTCCCATAGGCTTTATGGAGAGCTTCTCGGGCCCTCTTTGGGCAACTCGGGACGGTCCAGGGGGACGGTCACTTCCAGGACCCTGCCACTGGTGCACTCCCCAGGAGCTCTCCTTGCCCGCACCTCCCCCGGCGCGGCAGGGACCCCATGGGGATGGGCTCCGACTTCACCTCGGTTGGTATGGGCCAGCTTTCTTTGGGCATGGTGGCTGATGAGGGTGCCCCGTGGCGGCCACTGGGCGGGGGGAATCGTCTCCAAAGGAGTAGCCTCTCTCACATGCCGACACGGCGTCAGCGGATTCATGTCTCGTGCCAGTGTCGAACACCACGCCGACGCTCATCCTGGCCAGGGAGTTCCTGTGCCCAGGAGGGAGCTCACTGGCATGGGCCACACAGAGATCCTGGGCCCTGGAGGGGCATGGCCAGTAGCAGTGTCAGAGTGATTTTAGTTGGCCGTTCTCCGCGTTGGGGCACGGCGGTCTTCCGATTGCTGCTTGCCAGCGGGCTGCTGGCCGACCCGCCTGAGCCCACTTGGGCATGGGCACGACGCTGGGTGCCCGCTATGGGGGCCGCCAAGTCTGATCAGTGTTCTGGCTCAACGAAGCCACAGCCTCATTCCGCCATTCGGGTCCCGTCAGAGGCGAACCTACTGGCAGTTCCTTGAGGCCACATCCAATGAGATGCTGCGTGCAAATTCTGCCCCTATACCGTCTTTTTATGTATGCTGCTGCTGCTGCCCCTGCTGGTATTGACAATGCAAGCGAGCACGTGTAAAGACCGCGACCAAAGAATCAGCATCGGCCCTGCTCGCCATCGCCGATCGAGACTGCCGTCGGCAAACTCTCCACTCGCGCCACGGCCCGCGACGATCGCCATCGACGGGCCCGGCGTGGTGGCAGGCCGCGCGGCTGCCCGGCTCGGCCGTGCGCTCGGCGCAGGACGGCCCGTGCGCGGTCGCCGGTCGTGCGCGCCCGCCGCGACCGCGCGGGGCTGCCAGCTCCGCGCGCCGGCGACGCGCCTGGCGACGCGCCCAGCGCCCGGCTCCCAGCCTCGGCTTCCTTACCCCCTCCTCCTCCTCCTCCTCCTCCTCCTCCTCATCCTCCTCCTCCTCCTCCTCCTCCTCCTCCTCCTCCTCCTCCTCCTCCTCCTCCCCCTCCTCCTCCTCCTCCTCCTCCTCTCCTCCTCCTCCTCCTCCTCCTCCTCTCTCCCCTCCTCCTCCTCCTCCTCCTCCTCCTCCTCCTCTCCTCTCCTCCTCCTCCTCCTCCTCCTCCTCACCTCCTCCTCCTCCTCCTCCTCCTCCTCCCCTCCCCCTCCTCCTCCTCCTCCTCCTCCTCCTTCCTCCTCCTCCTCCTCCTCCTCCTCCTCCTCCTCCTCCTCCTCCTCCCCCTCTCCTCCTCCTCCTCCTCCTCCTCCTCCTCCTCCTCCTCCTCCTCCTCCTCCTCTCCTCCTCCTCCGCCTCCTCCTCCTCCTCCTCCCTCCTCCTCCTCCTCCTCCTCCTCCTCCTCCTCTCTCCTCCTCCTCCTCTCCTCATCCTCCTCCTCCTCCTCCCCCTCCTCCTCCTCCTCCTCCTCCTCCTCCTCCTCCTCCTCCTCCTCCTCTCCTCCTCCTCCTCCTCCTCCTCCTCCTCCTCCCCTCCTCCTCCCCTCCTCCTCCTCCTCCTCCTCCCCTCCTCCTCCTCCTCCTTCCCTTCCTCCTCCTCCTCCTCCTCCTCCTCCCTCCTCCTCCTACCTCCTCATCCTCCTCCTCCTCCTCCTCCTCCTCCTCCTCCTCCTCCTCCTCCTCCTCCTCCTCCTCCTCCTCCTCCTCCTCCTCCTCCTCCTCCTCCTCCTCCTCCTCCTCCTCCCCCTCTCGAAGAACATGCGGCATACGCACACACTTTCGGCCGCTGCCCCCCCCCTCCCCTCCCTCCTGGCGGTGCCTCGGGCGCCGCCCCTGGCGCCGCCCGCGCGCCAGGGGAGGGGGGAGTCCACCGCCGATCCAAGGAGTCACCGCGGACCCTTGGCCGTCGGTTGGTGTGTTTTGTTTGTGGTGAACACGTTTCTCTTCTTCTGCCCTGTCTGGCGTTGTCCCGTCCCCGTGGCCGTTTGCGCTCGGATTCCGTGGACAGCCCTCGGTGCACGCTCCACGGAGCACGCGACACGCCCGCAGGCACCATGCGCTCGGCTTCCAGGGCCTGCGCCCTCGCCGTGGTGGCCTTGCTGGCTCTCTACCGCAGCCGGGCCTTCGTGGCGCCGATCGGCGCTGGACGTGGCAGGCCTTGGAGCAGTGGGTGGGGCGCAGGTGGTCACCACCCACCCAAGCCACCCAAACCCAACCCAAGGGCCCCGATTTGCCTTCGATTTCCAGTGGGGGGGTCGGGGAACATGGAAAAAGCAGGTATGAAGCCCGTGCCCCCCCCCCAACCCGAAATTCGGGCGAAATTCTGATCTTCGGGTTGCGTTGAGGTGGCCTGGTAGTTAGTCAGGTGGGGTGGCCGGGAGGAGGCGCAACCGATACACCAACAGCGCACTGTTGCGTGCAAGCGCGCGCAACTGTCAGATGGGGGGGGCACGGCTTATTGCACGAAGCGGTAACTCCTGCCCGCACACTGTTGCATCCAGGCGCAAGCTATTACAAGTACGATGGCACCCCTCCCGGCCATGCCGTCTGCGCCCACCTCATTACTCCCGCTTCCAGGCCCTCGAAGACCGCGGCCAGGTACACCACGCAGACCATCTTGCCGGCGCTCGCGTGGATCAAGACGGGCTTCCGGGAGAGCGACCTCGCCCCCACCGAGCTCCGGGCGATCAACCTGGGCGGCGTCGACGTGCTGGTGGGCAAGACGGAGGGCGGCAAGCTCTTCTGCGTGGGCAATCTGTGCCCTCACCTCGGCACTCCGATGAGCGAGGGTGCTGACGTCATCGGCGATACGATCGTGTGCCCGCTGCATGGCTCGTCGTGGAAAGTTGGCGACGGTGAGCTGATCGACTGGTGCCCTAGCCCACCCATCATCGGTCCCCTCACTGGCCTGGTGATCGAAAAGAAGAAGCTGGCGATCTTCGAGGCGCGTTCTGGCTTCTTCGGCGGCGACATCGAGGTGCAGGTTGACACCAACGCGAAGAAGGCCTACGAGGCAGATTATTGGAAGGGCATCCTGGACGCGCAGGGCAAAAACGACGGCACCTACTACTGAGCAGGCGGGGCGCCCGTCCGCGAGGTCAAGGTGCCTGCGCGTTCCTCTTGCATACGGCAGGTTCGCGCCGCGTCGACGCGGCGGCGACCCCAGCGCGGGCGTTCAGGTCAAAGCGCCGCCAGTTGGTCAGAATTGGCCGACATCGAATGCGCGCCGTGTCGACGCGGCGGCGACCCCAGCGCGGGCGTTCAGGGCTTCCCCAGACTCGGCCGACAACGAGTGAGCTGCGCCATTGGACGGCCGCGATCGCGCCGCGTCGCACGACCCACGCGATGCCAGAATTCCGCGCCGAAGTCATCACGGCACGCACCTGCCGTACCCGCGTTGTGTTTTTAATGGCCAGGCCCTCTCCCCCTCGCCCCCTTCCCTCCCCTTCCCCCCTCGCCCCCTTCCCCCTTCGCCCCCTTCCCTCCCCCCCGCCCCCTCGCCCCCTTCCCTCCCCTTCCCCCCCTCCTTTCCCCCCGCCCCCTCGCCCGAGGCGAGCGTCTGCCTGCCACACGCGATCGAGGATCGCCAAAAGGTCGCCAGGAAGCGGCGCGCCGTGCTACGGTCAGGGACCTCGGCCTCGCGGGCCGCGCCGCCGGCTCTGGCCCACCACGCTCCGGCGCCCCTTGCTGTCCGCGCTCCGGTCCCCCCGCGGCCACGCCCCGAGCCTGGCCAGGGGGCCACGTGCGAACCCCACCCCTGCCCCCCACGATTTCTGAGGGGGAGGGCGGGGTTCACTTCGCTCCCTCCCCCTCAGAAATCGTGGGGGGTAGGGGCAGGGTTCGCATGTGGCCCCCTACCTTCTGGAGGGGAGGAGGAGGAGGAGGAGGAGAGGAGGAGAAGGAGGAGGGAGGAGGAGAGGAGGAGGAGGAGGGAGGAGGAGAGGAGGAGGAGGAGGAGGAGCAGGAGCAGGAGGAGCAGGAGGAGGAGGAGGAGCAGAAGGAGGGGGAGGAGGAGGGCCCCGCCTCCCGCCCCGCGGAGCGGGAGGGCACGCCAGCCGCTCACGGGGCACAGTGTGTCGCCGGGGCCGCCGCCGCCACGCGCAGAGCGGAGGTGCCCGGCTGCAGCCCTCCCCCTCCTCCCCTCCTCCCTCCTCTCTCCCCCCCCCTCCTCCTCCTCCTCCTCTCCTCCTCCTCCCTCCTCCTCTCCTCCCCTCTTCTCCTCCCTCCTCCCCTCCTCCCTCCTCTCTCCCGCCTCCCTCTCCTCCCCTCCTCTCCCCTCTCCCTCTCTCCCGCAGGCCCCCCTCCCCCCCTCCCCTCCTGCGGCGGGGCGGCCGCAGTCGGCGCGCTCGTTGGTTGTGTGCCGGCGCAGGCCCCCGGTGTCAGGCACCGCCGCCCCAAGCGCCGGTCCCTCCTCTTGCTTCTCTTTCTCCCTTTTCTCCGCCTCCACCTCCTTCTCCTCCTGCTCCTCCTCCTCGAGATTATACTGCAAGGCAGGATCCTCTACCCGCCCGCGGCAGCTGCTGCCGCTGCAGCCGCGGACACTCGACTTTTTTCTCTTCTGGGTCTTGGCCGCCTGCGTGCGTCTCTTTCTCTTGCTGAGTGTTGCCTCGTCTTTCTCCTCCTCCTCCTCCTCCTCCTCCTCCTCCTCCTCCAACCGAGGTAGGAACAGTTAACCTCCAGAGGTTCGGGTTTCCTTTGTTTTCCTATGTGTTCCTCCGTTTTCTTTTGTTTTCGTTTGTTTTCCTCTGCTTGTCTCGGTTTCCCTCTGTTTTGGGAGGCTCCGAGGTAAGAAACCTTACCCTGCGGAGGTGATAGGGCTCCCTCTGTTTTCCTGCATTTTCCTCCGTTTCTCTCCGTTTCCCGTCGTTTCCTTTTGTTTCCCTCCGTTTTCTTCCTTTTCCTTTGTGCTCCTCCGCTTTTCTCCGTTTCCCTCAGGTTTCCTGTGTTTTTCATGTTTTCCTTTGCTTTTTGGTGTTGCCCTATATAATTTTGTTTCCTTGAGTTTTCTGGAGTTTTCCATTGATATCCTGTGCTTCCTATTGTTTTCCTTATATTTCCCAAGTGTTTTCCTTATTCCCCACATCCTGAGTGGGGTTCTTGTTTTCCCAGAACATCCTCTCCTTCTCCCTCCCGCCTCCCGCCTCCCATTTCGTGCCCCTCCCACCCTTCCAGGGAGGCCTCGCCTGAGCGAGGAGGGTATCGGGAATCAATACTATTTACAAGGTTTCGTGCCCCTCCCACCCCTCCAGGGAGGCCCCGCCTGAGCGAGGAGGGTATCGGAAACCCATACTATTTCCATGGTTTCGTGTTCCTCCCCCCTCTCCAGGGAGGCCCCGCCTGAGCGAGGAGGGTATCCGAAACCCATACTATTTACATGGTTTCGTGCCCCTCCCACCCGTCCAGGGAGGCCACTTTTAAGCGAGGAGGGTATCGGAAACCCGCACTATTTCCATGGTTTCGTGCCCCTCCCACCCCTCCAGGGAGGCCCCGTCTGAGCGAGGGGGTATCAGAAACCCGTACTATTTAAATGGTTTCGTGCCCCTTCCACCCCTCCAGGGAGGCCCCGCCTGAGCGAGGAGGGTATCGGAAACCAATACTTTTTGCATGGTTTCGTGTTCCTCCCACCACTCCAGGGAGGCCCCGCCTGAGCGAGGAGGGTATCGGAAACACACTATTTAAATGTTTTCGTGCCCCTCCCATCCCTCCAGGGAGGCCCCGCCTGAGCGAGGAGGGTATCGGAAACCCATACTATTTACATGGTTTCGTGCCCTTCCCCCCTCTCCAGGGAGGCCCCGCCTGAGCGAGGAGGGTATCGGAAACCCATACTATTTAAATGGTTTCGTGCCCCTCCCACCCCTCCGGGGAGGCCCCGTCTGAGCGAGGAGGGTATCGGAAACCCACACTATTTAAATGGTCTCGTGCCCCTCCCACTGAGGAGGAGGGGAGAACATTACCTATCCATCACACGTCCTACTCCTCCCACTGAGGAGGGTGAGGAGGAGGGGGAGTTCTGCGATGAGGTGATGACGATGGTTATGCTGCTGTTCACGATGACGATGACGATGGCGATAATGGTGATGGACGATGACGATGGCGATAACGGCGATTATGATGATGCTGATGATGATGACGATGATGATGATGACGATGATGACGATGATGACAACGACGACGACGACGATGATGATGATGATGATGCAGATGCTGGTGATGATGACGATGCTGCTGCTGATGCTGACGTTGCTGGTGCTGTTGATGATGACGACGATGATGCTGATGATGATGATGACGTCCACGATGATGCGGACGATGCTGATGCCAAGGACGGTGATGGTGACGATGATGACGATGATGATGACGATGATGGCGACGACGATGATGATGATGACGATGACGCTGACGATGATGATGATGCTGCTGATGATGATGAGGATGATGATGATGATGGTAATGATGATGCCGATGATGCTGACGATGATGATGATAATGATGCTGAAGAAGATTATGATGCTGATGATGATGCTGATGATGATGATGATGATGCTGATACTGATGATGAGGATGATGATGATGATGATGACGATGATGCTGATGATGACGATGACGACGATACTGGTGATGATGAAGATGATGATGCTGATGATGATGATGATGATGATGATGATTATGATGATGATGATGATGCTGATGATGATGATGATGATGATGATGATGATGATGATGATGATGATGATGATGATGATGTCGAGGATGAGGAGGACGAGGAGGAGGAGGCCCTCCACTCCTCCCCTCCACTCCTCCAGAGAGGCCGCGCTTGAACGAGGAGGGTCGCGGAACGCATCACTGTTTACCAGGTTTCGTAGCCCCCCTTCCAGCGTGGCCCCGCCAGAGCGAGGAGGGTATCAAGAAACCATACTATTTACAAGGCTTCGTTTCCTGAGCACCTGTCCTCCCTCCTCCTTTCTTTCGTCTGTCCTTTCGTGCGTACTTACTCGTTCGATGAGCTTCTCCTTCGTGTGGATGTTGTCGTACCCCATGGGTCCCACGAAACCGTTATTATCTTTAGGTTGGGAACTTCGTTAGCATAATGTTTTTTTTCTGCTCCATGTGCTTTCCTTATGTTGTCCCTCTGCTTTCCCTCTGTTTTCTTTTTTTGGTTTCCTCCGTTTATCTTCGTGCTCCTCTGTTTCCTATTGTTTTGTGTGGTCCCGAAAGAGGCCGCCGAAATCTCTGGAGGTTCGGTTTTCCTCTGTTGTTTTACCGTTTTTACTCGGTTCTCCCTCTGCTTTCTTTTTGTTTTTCTCCACATCCTGAGTGGGGTTCTTGTTTTCCTAGAACATCCTCTCTTTCTCCTTCTCCTTCTTCTCCTTCTCCCTCCTCCCTGCGATACCATTCCATATGTATCATACCATACCATATTTACTATACCATACTTACCAACACCTTACCAATACCATCCCACGTCCATATCTACCATAACACACCTACCACCTACCATACCTACCATACCATACTAGTACCATAACTACCATACCATGCCAACCATACCACACCAACTACAATATCATGCCACACCTACAATACCAAAGTTACCATACCATACCCACCACTCCAGGGAAGTCACGCCAGAGCGAGGCCAGTATCGGGATACCATGCCATTTACAAGGTTTCGTGCCCCCCCTCCAGGGAGCCCCCGCCTGAGCGAGTAGGGTATTCGCAAACCATTATCATCATACCTACCGGTGTGATCTCGCACTGCTTTATTTCGACCGACCGTGTGCCCATAATGCGGTCGTGCTGGTGGTTGTGCTGGCGGCCGTGCTGGTGGTCGTGGTTGGTGGACGTGCTGGTGGTCGTGCTGGTGGTCGTGCTGCTGGCCGTTCTGGTGGAGGTGCTGGCAGTCGTGCTGGTGGTCGTGCTGGTACTTGTGCTGGTAGTCGTGCTGGGAAGTGCTGGTGGTCGAGCTGGCGGTCGTGCTGCTGGCTGGTCGTGCTGGTGGTCGTGCTGGTGGTCGTGCTGGGCTGGTGGTCGTGCTGGTGGTCGTGCTGGCGGTTGTGCTGGTGGTCGTGCTGGTGGCTGGTCACGTTGGTGGTTGTGCTGGTGATCGTGCTGGCGGTCGTGTTGGTGGTCGTTCTGGTGGAGGTGCTGGTGATCGTGCTGGTGGTCGTGCTGGTGGTCGTGCTGGTGGTTGTGCTGGTGGTCGTGCTGGTGGCTGGCCGTGCTGGAGGTGCTGGTGGTCGTGTTGGTGGTCGTGCTTGGTCGTGCTGGTGGCTGGCCGTGCTGGAGGTGCTGGTGGCTGGTCGTGCTGGTGGTCGTGCTGGTGGTCGTGCTGGTGGTCGTGCTGGTGCTTGTGCTGGTGGTCGTGCTGGCGGTCGTGTTGGTGGCCGTTCTGGTGGAGGTGCTGGTGGGTGGTCGTGCTGGTGGTCGTGCTGGTGGTTGTGCTGGTGGTCGTGCTGGTGGCTGGGCGTGCCGGTGCTTGTGCTGGTGGTCGTGCTGGCGGTCGTGTTGGTGCCCGTTCTGGTGGAGGTGCTGGTGGTCTTGCTGGTGGTCGTGCTGGTGGTTCTGCTGGTGGTCGTGCTGGTGGCTGGCCGTGCTGGAGGTGCTGGTGGTCGTGTTGGTGGTCGTGCTGGTGGTCGTGCTCGCGGTCGTGTTGCTGGCCGTTCTGGTGGAGGTGCTGGTGGTCGTGCTGGTGGTCGTGCTGGCCCCTCCCCCTCCCCCCCTGCGCC